TTATTTCCTCCAAGATAGATAGATAGATAGATAGATATTATTTTTTTCCTCCAATTGAATGAAGATTACAATATGCGATATAATTATGTTACATGTTTAACATGAATTGGGGGTATATTTACACATGTGCATAGACATATAAGTTTTTTAACAGGTATCGCCATTTCCTTATGAAGAGGCTTACATTAATTATTACTTCTTCCCACACATCTCTTTCTAGTTCCATAATACATTCTATGGGACATCCACCAAATAAAAACGCAAGAATATATATATATATATATTTATATATATATATATATATATATATATATATATATATATATATATATATATATATATATATATATATATATATATATATATATCATCTTTCTCCCAGATCTTTACAAAAACATTTACATCCAGGATATCACATATGGTGTTAAAAAGTAGATTTCGGTCATTCATATTGATCGTGCAAGACATAAACACGTGCTTTACAATATCATTTGCAACAGTTTTACAATAGCATTCTCTAGAGACAATTTCACATGATCCATAGAATACAAGCCTTGCAATATTAGTTAAATGGTCATACTTCTCCAAGGCTAGTTTCCAGAGATAGTGTTCATTACTTGATCATATTCTAACATATCTTGACAGACTGAGTCTTGATTTAAGATGGACATAAAATACATCATCTCGATGAGATTTAATGGCATCATTGATGGCCTTGGACGAGCATTTCCTATTAATAAATTGACAGTTATTGACATAGTTACAAGTGTATCACTAAGGTTATAGTTCTGGACAAGTTGTAGCATTTTATATAATGGAGATTTTCTACTCCATACATTGCATGTAAAACTATCTGTACACATAAATTGACCCAGGCGAACTAGAAACATTACTTTAAAAACACAGTTATACTTTGCATTACATAGCTTTCCTAAGAATTAGAGTGCTCTTTTATCTATGTAATACTGTAGTAGCATGATGCCGATAGCATCCAATACGACAATACCGGGAGTGCGCCTCTGTAGTCCCTGAACTTTTTTTTACAAAATTGACGTTGTACAACTTCAAGGATTTCATACTCTTTAAGAGGAAATTTACCCCATACGCTGCATCCATAGAGACCACATGATCAGATTACCCTCCCCCAGATACGTGCTGCAGATATAGGAGTCAGACCACCAAAATACAGCCCATTATTATGCTAAGTGTTGATTACACGTAACTTTTTACATGCAAATTTGTACGTTCAAGTGATGATTTATCTGTAATAAGATATACACCTGCATATTTAATAGATTTCCTTATCGCCAATTGATACATTTGTGGTTTTAACCTTATTGTTTTGGCATCCAAAGTAGAGAACTGCACTCTTGCTTACATTATATACTCACACGCAAAAGAAACGCAAGTGGTTTTAAGCAAATATATAACACACACGGAACCATAAATTGATACGAATTTTAGCATGTAGTAAAGCCTGATGGTGTTATCAATATTTTTGGTTGCATTTTGGAAGCCCTGAGTAAAAACGCAACATAAAAAACGAATCGCCAAAACGCACCATTTCAATGACTATGTGGGTATCATGCACCCATTTCTCGCGAAATCGAAAATGCACGAAGTGTAGTGGGTATAAAACTGTGGCCGATTCTTGGACCTACCACTCCTTGGTCAACAATGCCACGCCTAACTCAAATTCAGAGAAACCAGGCTATCGGACGTTTGGAAGCTGGAGAGTCTGTCCAAGATGTTGCCCGTCATTTCAATGTTAACATAATCACAATTTACCGTCTCCTGCATCGATACAATGCTACACAGACCACAGATGACCTTCCTCGGAGCGGTCGTCCTAGGATCACCACACCTCGACAAGATCGGCAGATTACCCGTCAACACCAGCGACATCCGTTCCTAACTGCAAGTGAAAGTGCTCGACAGACCATAGGAACACATAATCGACACATTAGCCGGGACACTGTGATCCGACGTCTCCGTTCCAACAACCTCAGATGTCGCCGACCAGCACGTCGTCCTGTTCTCCAATCACGGCATCGACAAGCACGACTTCAGTGGGCACAGGGTCATCGCAATTGGCGTCATCGTGAGTGGAGGCGTGTCATCTTCTCTGATGAAAGTCGCTTTTGTGTCTCCCATGCAGATGGAAGAGTCAGAATTTGGCGGCGTCGAGGTGATCGTTTCGCTTAAAGAAACGTTGTGGAAAGGGATCCATGGGGTGGACCAAGCGTCATGATATGGGCAGGGATTGGACTTAATGCGAGACTTGGACCCATGTGCTTTCTGAATGTTGGTCAAGGTCGGGGACACGGCGTCACTGCTCAGCGGTATATCGACCAAGTGATCAGACCCCACGTTGTTCCATTTTTTGCACAACATCAACAACACATTTTCCAGCAGGACAACGCTCGTCCCCATGTTGCCAGAGCTACCATGGCCTTTCTGCAACAACACAACATCCGTGTTCTACCGTGGCCAGCCCTCAGCCCTGATCTGAACCACATCGAACACTTGTGGGATGAGGTTCAAAGGCGTCTGCACAATGTGCGCCCAGTCCCTACAACTATCGATGAACTACGCACAGTTGCTCTGGATGTGTGCAGGAGGATCCCTAGGGCCTTCACAAATCGTCTGATCCACTCAATGTACAGAAGATGTGTGGCAGTGATCAATGCTAATGGTGGTCACACCAGGTATTGACTGACATTTTGGGTATTGACCCGAAACTGTGTAAGCCCTTAACATTTGCAAAAACCAATTATGCCATCTGCCTTTTAATCCATGAAACTGTCTTTAGTCAAATTTTTGTCAATCTTGCCCTATTAGTATTTCTTGTCTTTACTGTTGCAAATAAATAACACGTATACTGCATAGTCGACTTGCGTTTCTTTTGCGTGTGAGTATATTTTAGCTGCCACATATGAGCATAGTTTTGAACGACATCAAGTAGATTTTGCAGGCCTTTATTTGAGATACTCAATAAAGTAGTGTCGTCAGCAAGAAAGATCCCAGGGCATTTACCCCATGGCAGAATTAAGCCAGAATCTGAGTTTTCAAGTTCATATAGAAGGTCATTAATAAATAGCGTGAAAAGCCAGGCGGATATTACTCTACCTTGACCTACTCCTTGATTCACGGGGGATACATCCGACTTAAATCCTTCAAAGCATACAAATGATTTCATAGAGCTGTTGGAGAGTCTTAATATTCTCCATAGTTTATCCGTTATTCCTATATCATACAGTTTAATAAATAATCCATCAAGCCATACCCGATCAAATGCTTTTTCGTTATCTAAGAATGCACAGTATACAGGCGACATCCTTTCATTGTAATATGCAATATTTTCTGTTAACGTAAGTACAGCCGTTTCAGCACCATACTGACGTCTAAATCCAAATTGCAAAGGATGGGAAAATTCTTTGTTATGTTCTACCCACGACTCTATTCTGTTGAGAAGAAGTATTTCAAAAAGTTTGCTTAATACAGGCGTCATTGTTACTCCTCTATAATTGGCAGGGTCATAATTTGGTTTACCATGGCCTTTGTGTATAGGAAGAATTTGACCTATAGAAAATGATTTTGGAATGTATTCAAAGTTAATCATGGCATTGAATAGTAAGGCAATATGATACAGCAGAGATCTACCAGCCTTCTTTATATGCTCATTTACAATACTGAATTTCGAACTTTAAGTCGTTTTACTGCACAATGGATTTCTTCTTTAGTGAATGGACAATGCAGTGCATGTTTTTGTTTGTTTGTGTTTTGTTGTTGTTGTTGTTGTTGTTGTTGTTGTTTTTTTGGGGTGAGAATAGGTGGTGTAGGTGTTTCTATCATTATTGAGTTCATACTTGTTTACTAGTGAAAGCATGTGGTATACGAGTGACATTTTACATTCATCATCTTTTTCTTTAATTGTATCGAGTTGTGCTGCAATATTCTTTTAAAAGCAAAGTTAATGTCACTAGTACATAGTTTTCGAAGGAATAAGAGAGCTCGTTGATCAATGTACGCCAGGAGAGAAATTTAACCCAGACAATCTCTGGTGACGACGGAAGGATTGGATCTTTTTACAAAAATAACGTTGAATAATTTCAAACATTTCGTATTTCTTTGGTGACAGTTTACCCCATACACTACAAGCAAATAATCCACATGGTAGAATTACCCTTTCCCATATACGAACAGCTGGGACAGAATTTACACCACCAAAATATAGTCAATGATTATAATTTATATTGACTGACATTCTGAGTTTTTCACATATGAGATGGGTACGTTCTAAGGTTTTCTTTGATGTATTTAAAAGCAATCCAGCATAAGTTACATTTCCCTTTTAGGAAGTACTTGTGAACCAATGTAGACACATTGACAGACAGATTAGCGAATATTCCCAAACAGTAGAAATGCACTTTTACTGGCATTATATTTCAAATGCCATCTATTAGCATATTTGTATATATCATTCAGTAGACATTGCAGTCCGTCAGAGGAGCTGCTCAACAACGTAGTATCGTTTGCTAATAGGATGCCGGGTGTATTACCCTCATGGAAGACACAAGCCACGCCCTGAATCATCAAGTGAATACAATAAGTCATTAATATACAGAGTAGAAAGCCATGCCGATAAAACGCGACCTTGACCCACACCTTGCTTAACATGAAACACATTTGCGGTAAAACCTCCAATGCTTACACATGACTGCATTGACGTGACGGTGTCCCTTTCCCTGATATAGCTGAAAACAGCGTGAACTAATATAGACACAGTCACTAGTCCTGACTATAATCACTCACTATTTCTGCTAGGGATATTTTTCGAGATCGGTCCTATTCAAATCAGGCCACACACATCATATGGCAATCGCATCACGTCCAAAACGCTGCATGGTATTCAGCTAGTCACCGTGACGGTTGTACTTAATGTGGTTCTGTATCCACATGGACAGTAACAGTCGTTCAGCATAGAAGGATACTCCATGATGGCGGAGACAGACAGTTTGGTGTTCTTCGTGAATGGTATAAAGGTGATATTATATTCCTTAATACTTAATACTTTTACTGCGAATGTTTTGATGATACGTGGTACTTACTTCATTGGATACATTAATTGGTAATACCGGACGAATACTGTTTAGGAGTCTGTATGAAGACAAATAATACACAAATTGTCATGAGAACGTGTCCATGATCAGGTATTCTCATCAAGATTCCATGCCGCAGTTTAACATGGATTTTTCACTTGGACATATTATACTGAATCTGTGCCAACCATTCCTTGTTCTGTACTCTTAATGCCGGGATAACAATTCATAAAAAACAACCCAGTTTGTATTTCGTGTAAAGGAATTGGCCGTCTGCTTTTTGTTTTAAATAATAACTGCTGAAATGGAAAAAATATGTGAGTGAGTGAAAGAAAATGATGTACGCTTTTCATCTGTTACCATGGTTACCGTCTGATTGACCCCACCTGATATGTCGTTCAGACAAATTGCAGTCGGTTTGACCTCCTGTCTGTTACACAAATATTTGATCATACTTTACACGCTTTCCAGAGAAAACGCAAAAGTTTTAACTTTTTGTCCATTACATATCTTACATACGAAAGCAAACAGGCCATGATTTTGTGATGCCTTTATATGTAATCACAACATTTGGTTACATCCTATATCCTTAATTCAAAACGGCAACTCCAAAGAATTGTTAGTCTCGCGTATCCCCCGAAACAGATGACATGGTTCGTAAAAGGCAGATTAGAGGTAAACAGCATGTGAACTCATGTTTACCCATCCGTATCAGTGCTGTTTACCATCTGTGTAATATGTTCCAGATAGAGGAAAGGCAGCCTGATCCAGGTCTCTCGTTGCTGCAGTACCTGCGTCATAAATGTATCCTTGAAGCTTGTCACGAGACGCACTCTTTGCACTGTACAAATGAAGAGTGAGATTAACATTATTTCGTCGACAAAGCGTGAGGTTGAAATCGCCAGCATTAAATTTTCAACTAAGACAAAAGTATAAACTGAGTTTAAGCAAATCAAAAGTATGCCATTCCCCAAGACATGGCTGGTGAAAGCGAAAATAGTAGGCCAATACATTGTGAAGATGGCGTGAAGTCCTGATCCCTAATGTGGACATACGCCATGTGGATTTTACTTTGCTACCATTATAGTTACTGTACAAGAAATGCAAGACATTATAACTTAAAAAAGTAGAGATAATTTATGGATAACTACTTCTATATTTAAAGTAAAGGCGACGTTTCGGTATAGATCCTTATACAATTCATTATTACTTAACTGTACTTGAAGTGCGCCTGACCGGAAGTAAGGGTGGCTGTGCAGAAGGAGGATGTGGCGCGTGTACCGTAATGGTGTCAGAGTATGACCACAAAGCACAGAAGATCAGGTTGACTGATTTATCTTTCTCATTGCGACCTTTCAAATTAACTGAATTTGAATTTTGATTGTATTTTTCACATTTTAATTTCCATAATTAATCTTGTCAATAATTCTTTAAATCTTTCTTTTAGGCATTTTTCGGTCTTTGCTTGCATCCTGCCCGTATGTTATCTCCATGGTCTGGCTGTCACTACAGTAGAGGGTATAGGCAGCACCAAGACCAGGCTACACCCAGTACAGGTAAGTCTGTTCTCTCCATGGTCTGGCTGTCACTACAGACAGTAGAGGGTATAGGCAGCACCAAGACCAGGCTACACCCAGTACAGGTAAGTCCGTTCTCTCCATGGTATGGTTGTCACTACAGTAGAGGGTACAGGCAGCACCAAGACCAGGCTACACCCAGTACAGGTAAGTCTGTTCCCTCCATGGTCTGGCTGTCACTACAGTAGAGGGTATTGGCAGCACCAAGACCAGGCTACACCCAGTACAGGTAAGTCTGTTCTCTCCATGGTCTGGCTGTCACTACAGTAGAGGGTATTGGCAGCACCAAGACCAGGCTACACCCAGTACAGGTAAGTCTGTTCTCTCCATGGTCTGGCTGTCACTACAGCAGAGGGTACAGGCAGCACCAAGACCAGGCTACACCCAGTACAGGTGTCTGGCTGTCACTACAGTAGAGGGCATAGGCAGCCCAAAGACCAGACTACACCCAGTACAGGTAAGTCTGTTCTCTCCATGGTCTGGCTGTCACTACAGTAGAGGGTATAGGCAGAACACAGACCAGGCTACACCCAGTACAGGTTAGTCTGTTCTCTCCATGGTCTATAGGCAGCACAAAGACCATCCGTATCAAACTGCAGGTTCAAGATGTTTATTATCTTAACGTTTTCAGTGATCATTTGCTCTTCTAAAAATATGTTTAATAATTCAGAAAAGGTTAGCGGAGGCGCACGGCTCCCAGTGTGGATTCTGTACCCCTGGTATGGTCATGTCCATGTACGCGCTCCTCAGGAACAACCCTCAGCCTACTGAAGACCAAATTCGCCGATTCCTAGATGGTAAGTCTCTGGCATTTGATAACGGCGAGACCCGTGAAGATCCGGGATAGAATTGGTCTTCAGCAACCCATTCCGTAAAAGGCAACTATGCTTGTCGTAAGAGGCGACTAGTCAGGCACGCTGACTTGGTTGATGCATGGTATCGTATTCCAATTGCATGGATCGATACTCATGATGTCAGTCACTGTATTGTCTGGTCCAGATTCGATTATGTACAGACCGCCGTCATATAGCTGGAATGTTGCTGAGTGCCGCGTTAAACAACAGGAAAACAAACAATGATATCGGCGAATTTATTACCTACCTTAAATGACAACTTGTAATTGTTTGATCAACCTTAAATTGATCTCAATATCCTCCCCTAACGCCCCTTGCAGGAAACCTGTGTCGATGTACTGGCTACAGACCTATACTTGATGGATTTCGGACATTCGCAAAGGTATTTCCATATTATCTAAACGTCAAACACTTTTCAGTCACCAATCCTGACATATCAATCTCAACGATATCCTTGATCATTTTGGTTTTGGTTTCAATGGTCATGACGGAATATACGACTATCTATATCACATTTTCATCATATCTTAACCAAAATATACTGTAGTATAAAGTATTGTAAGCGTGATAAATGAATAATTATAATTTATTGACACGTGTTAACATGGAACACTCAATTACAGGGTAATTGTGGCCTGGGAATGGATTGCTGTCGTAATAACACAAGTGCCAAAGATGAGGTATGGTCACAGACATCATCCTTGGTAAAACACCTTGAAGTAAGAGAGTTATTATTCACAAATATATACACTGAGATTACTACGATGGACTGCACTGTATCTGTATCATATATGATGATGATGTAATATATCTACGGCATTGTGTTGATATTCCAGCCTAAGGATGTCTCCAGCATGACGTATTATTCGCCATACGATCCGACACAAGAACCCATCTTTCCTCCAGAGCTAAAGGTGGGCGATACAGTAAACTACGTTTATAACGAACACGCTTATAACGAACTTACCGATGTACGAACTTATTTTTTAGTCCCGCGATTTGTTGTATATATGCTGTATATATGCTTTTTCCAAACTACGGTTATTACGAACTAAAATTAGTGGTCCCTTTGAGTTCGTTATAACCGTAGTTTACTATATGTGCAATTTGAATGCAGCTTTAAATGTTTTTCTGTTCAGTTTCTTCTTCTTATTTGTTATGTTCTGAAGCGTCGAAAGAATCAATCTCATCAAAGTACTCCATCAGTGGGAGTTTCGTCGATCATCGCATAAATCGAGAATTATCACGGAGGATACCTGTCCACCTCACCGTCACATGTTGTTTTTAAGTGACAAGACTGTTGAAATCCTTTTCTTTCATTTACCAGAACAAGTGGACATTTTACCAAGAGAAATCAGTCGTGTTCAAATGTGGCAATTGCACGTGGTACAGACCATCCACCCTGGCTGAGGTACTTGACCTGAAGTGTCGACATCCTGAAGCAAAGATTGTTCTGGGGAATACAGAGATATGTGAGTGTTAATCACTTCATGCCGCTACAGTAATTTCGGTGCAAACATCAACAAGTGGAGTGTCAATAGGGACCATTACAGTACTGGTGTTCGCTGAGCTTCATTAAGGGTTTTAACAGAGATGGATATTGACAAAATCAAACTGAATTAATCTCACTGCCCACAATAATAAGAAGATGACGCCTATACTTTTCCGAAAAGTCGACCTGGTAACAATAGTGCAAGAAAGTACAAATAATTGTTTCCTGTTTCTATTTTTTTACGGACATATTGATAAATCTTTCATCTGTAAACAAAACAACATAATGTCTGTATGACAGAGTGCTTGTGCATTCAGCCATGTGCTTTTACGTTTTTTTATCACGGCGGGGGACACCAGAAATGGAATTTACACATTGTACCCATGTCGGAAACGAACCCGGGTCTTCGACGTGACGAGCGAACGCTTTAACCATTAGGCTACCCGACAGCCCCTGTAGACCTAGAGCACAGCAAGCGACATCGATGAGGGGCTTACCCTTTAAGTAAACACTTCTGATGTGATGAGTGAACGTTTCGCCAACCATCACGAAATCCTTACCCATACATTCACTTCTTCTAAACAGAATACAATGAAATACACGTACGCTAACCGGGAATGTAACATACAAACCTCGTGCATTCATATTATTCATGTACGTGTATGTGATCAATTATGTCTACACATTCATGACATAACAAAACATAAAATATATGTGTGATATATATTTATTGTTATCGGAGTATAAATTCAACTGACTCTAATCCACATCAACTGACACCATTACAGCAGTTGAGACTCACTGCAAGGGTCGGACATACCATGTGTTGATCGAGGCCACCAGCGTCCCGGAACTCAGGCAGATTTCAAGGTCACCGTCAGGGATAACGTTCGGCTCGGCCGTCACTATCACCAACGTTATTGATACATTGCAAACTGTTGTCAGTGACACGCCAGGTAAGCAGTTAAGTTAATATGAGTTGAAACGAAAGACATGTTAATGTTAAAAGCACACTACAGCATTATAATGATTCGTAATTGATACAAATTTCTCCTCAGAGTATGAAACACGGGTGTTCCGTGGTTTTCTGGACGTTCTGCGATGGTTCGGCAACACACAGGTCAGGAATATTTCAGTGAGTGAGACGCAGCAGACCAACAATCACAATGAGATATTGGTTCAGTTGGGATGCAGATGGCAAAGTGTTCAAGAGTGGCATAATTCGCTGTCCGGATCGGGGGAGTTGTGTCCCTTAGATGGGTCAGGATTTGCTTGCATATGGTTTCAAAGAATTTTATTCTCTACGACCCGTTATACATATGGCTACGTTTAGCTAGCATACCGCGGAAAGATACCAATCGGGGTGTTTAACCCCACTTGCCATACAATGAAGATAGATTATAAAAACGCATTGATATTTATGTTTTAAATCAAAAACTTCTAACATATCCAAGTGCTATGAAATATTCCACCTGGAAAATATGTCCCCCAAAATCCCCTTTGATCTTAGCAAAGTGATGACTCAGCGTTCTATGATCAGGAATGTTTCATAACTTGACAGAGTATCGGTGGCAACATTATTGCGTCCAGTCCATTGTCTGACCTCCTCCCGATGCTTATGGCTGCCGGCGCCACCATCAGCGTGGCGAAGAAAGGTATTGCACATGTATTTACGTGTACAAATATATATTATATGTTATAAAGGTGTGTTTGCATCTATCTGTTTGTGTCCGTGTGTGTGTGTCTGTATGTGTTTGTGTGTGTGTGTCTATGTGTGCGTGTGTCTGTGTGTGTGCGTGTGCCTGTGTGTCTGTCTGTGTCTGTGTGTGTGCCTGTGTGTGTGTGTGTGTGTCTTTGTTAGTGTCTGTGTGTCTGTGTGTGTTTGTGTCTGCGTGTGTGTGTGTGTGTGTGTGTCTATGTGTGCGTGTGTCTGTGTGTGTGCGTGTGCCTGTGTGTCTGTCTGTGTGTGTGTCTGTGTGTGTGCGTGTGTGTGTGCGTGTGTGTGTGTGTGTGCGTGTGCCTGTGTGTCTGTCTGTGTCTGTGTCTGTGTCTGTGTGTGTGTGTCTATGTGTGTGTGTGTGTGTGTATGTGTGTGTGTGTGTGTGTGCGTGTGCCTGTGTGTGTGTGTGTGTGTGTGTGTGTGTGTGTGTGTGTGTGTGTGTGTGTGTGTGTGTGTGTGTGTGTGTGTGTGTGTGTGTGTGTGTGTGTGTGTGTGTTAGGATGCAGATGTAGTTCAGTCAATTTTCTCTGGTTTCAATATTTCTAGGCTCCGCTATTAGGCACTTCACGATTGACTCCAGCTTCCATGTCAAGTACAGGTCAACGTGTCTGGACTCCGATGATGTCCTGATGTCTGTAACAATCCCTGCATCAAACAAGGTTGGTGACTGCCGAGTTCCGACCCGTGAAGATCCGGGGTAGAATTGGTCTTAAGCTGCACTAACTTACCGTAAAAGGCGACTATGCTTGTCATATGAGGCGAGTAACGGGATCAGTAATTAATGTATGTCATCGTATCCCAATTGCGTTGATCGATGCTCATGATGTCAATTACTGGATTGTCTAATCAAGACGCGATTAATTACAGACCGCCGTCAGTGAGTGAGTTAGTGAGTGAGTGAGTGAGTTGGGTTTAACGCCCCTTTAACAGTATTCCAGTTATATCGCGACGTGTCAGCTTAATGTGGGAGGAAAGCCCAAAGTGATGCAGGTCTCAAACGTTTACCACTTCGGTGAAACCCACGAGCACGGGTATGGTGCTGACAAACCTAGAAACATAATCGGGGCGAACCGGGATTCGAACCCACAATCATAGGTTTCTGGCGTGCCCTAGGGACGCAAAACCCAGCAATTTGACACGTAGTTTAACCAAGAATGTGTCCCTTAACGTGCCAGAAACTAAAAAGAAACAAATGTGAGAAAGAAAAAGAATGCAAGGTGTCAGCCATTTGACCATAAATGAATTCTTTTCCATCAATAACTCAAAAGTTTCGTTTCGGTATTCATCAAGTCTAGAATTTATGCGGTGGGCCAAACAGAGTCCTACTTTGTTCATTTGATTTATCATAGGCCTCAGATCAGCGATGGGTCCAATGGAAACATATCGAGTAATGAGAGTTCGAGACAAGCGGAATGACGATATAAGACCGTGGTGTCCACAAGGTTTAGACAGTGGCATTTACGTAACATCATCTCCAACGACCTTATTTGGAGTTAATTGACTTCGTTCAGTAAATGATAGCCAAGGTGACACCCGTATAATAATCATAGCCAAGTTGATACCCGTATAATAACCATAGGTAAGGTGACACCCATATAATAACCATAGCCAAGGTAACACCCGTGTTATAACAACAGCCAAGGTGACACCCGTATAATAACCATAGCCAAGGTGACACCCGTATAATAACCATAGCCAAGGTGACACCCATATAATAACCATAGCCAAGATGATACCCGTATAATAACCATAGCCAAGGTGACACCCGTATAATAACCATAGCCAAGGTAACACCCGTGTTAGAACCATATCCAAGGTGACACCCGTATAATAACCATAGCCAAGGTGACACCCGTATAATAACCATAGCCAAGGTGACACCCATATAATAACCATAGCCAAGGTGATACCCATATAATAACCATAGCCAAGGTGACACCCGTATAATAACCATAACCAAGGTGAAACCCGTATAATAAACATAACCAAGGTGATACCCATATAATAACCATAGCCAAGGTGACACCCGTATAAAAACCATAGCCAAGGTGACACCTGTAAAAATACCAAAACCAAGGTGACACCCATATAATAACTATAACCAAGGTAACACCCGTATAATAACCATAGCCAAGGTGATACCCGTATAATAACCATAGCCAAGGTGACACCCGTATAATAAGCATAGCCAAGGTGACACCCGTATAATAACCATAACCAAGGTGATACCCGTATAATAACCATAGCCAAGGTGACACCCATATAATAACCATAGCCAAGGTAACACCCGTATAATAACCATAACCAAGGTGATACCCGTATAATAACCATAGCCAAGGTAACACCCGTATAATAACCATAGCCAAGGTGACACCCGTATAATAACCATAACCAAGGTGACACCCATATAATAACCATAGCCAAGGTAACACCCGTATAATAACCATAGCCAAGGTGATACCCGTATAATAACCATAGCCAAGGTGACACCCGTATAATAAGCATAGCCAAGGTGACACCCGTATAATAACCATAACCAAGGTGATACCCGTATAATAACCATAGCCAAGGTGACACCCATATAATAACCATAGCCAAGGTAACACCCGTATAATAACCATAACCAAGGTGATACCCGTATAATAACCATAGCCAAGGTAACGCCGTATAATAACCATAGCCAAGGTAACACCCGTATAATAACCATAGCCAAGGTGACACCCGTATAATAACCATAACCAAGGTGACACCCATATAATAACCATAGCCAAGGTAACACCCGTATAATAACCATAGCCAAGGTGACACCCATATAATAATCATAGCCAAGATGATACCCGTTTAATAACCATAGCCAAGGTGACACCCGTATAATAACCATAACCAAGGTGACACCCGTAAATAACCATAGCCAAGGTGACACCCGTATAATAATCATATGCAAGGTGATACCCGTATTATAACAATAGCCAAGGTGACACCCGTATAATAATCATAGCCAAGGTGACACCCGTATACTAACCATAGCCAAGGTGACACCCGCATTATAACAATAGCCAAGGTGACACCCGTATAATAATCATAGCCAAGGTGATACCCGTATAATAACCATAGCCAAGGTGACACCCGTATTATAACAATAGCCAAGGTGACAACCGTATAATAATCATAGCCAAGGTGACACCCGTATAATAATCATAGCTAAGATGACACCCGTATAATAACCATAGCCAAGGTAATACCCGTATATAAAAAAACATAGCCAAGATTATACTCGAATTATAACAATAGCCAAGATGATACCCGTATAACCATCATAGCCAAGGTGATACCGTATAGTAACCACAGCCAAGGTGACACCCGTATAACTACCATAGCCAAGGTAATAAACCATATAATAACAATAGCCAAAGCGACACCCGTATAACAACCATAGCCAAGGTAATACCCATATAACAACCATAGCCAAGTTAATACCCGTATAAAAAACAAACATAGCCAAGATGATACTCGTATTTTAACAATAGCCAAGATGATACCCGTATAACCATCATAGCCAAGGTGATACCCGTATAACCATCATAGCCAAGGTGATACCCGTATAGTAACCACAGCCAAGGTGATACCCGTATAGTAACCACAGCCAAGGTGACACCCGTATAGCAACCATAGCCATAGCGACAACCGTATAACAATCATAACCAAGATGATACCCGTATGATAACCATATCCAAGGTGATACCCATATAACAGCCATAGCCAAGGTGACACCCGTATGATGACCATATCCAAGGTGATACCCATATAACAGCCATAGCCAAGGTGACACCCGTATGATAACCATATCCAAGGTGATACCCATATAACAGCCATAGCCAAGGTGACACCCGTATGATAACCATATCCAAGGTGATACCCATATAACAGCCATAGCCAAGGTGACACCCGTATGATGACCATATCCAAGGTGATACCCATATAACAGCCATAGCCAAGGTGACACCCGTATGATGACCATATCCAAGGTGATACCCATATAACAGCCATAGCCAAGGTGACACCCGTATAATAACCATATCCAAGGTGATACCCATATAACAGCCATAGCCAAGGTGACACCCGTATAATAACCATATCCAAGGTGATACCCATATAACAGCCATAGCCAAGGTGACACCCGTATAATAACCATATCCAAGGTGATACCCATATAACAGCCATAGCCAAGGTGACACCCGTATAATAACCATATCCAAGGTGATACCCATATAACAGCCATAGCCAAAGCGACACCCGTATAACAATCATAGCCAAGATGATACCCGTATGATAACCATATCCAAGGTGACACCCGTATAATAACCATATCCAAGGTGATACCCATATAACAGCCATAGCCAAGGTGACACCCGTATAATAACCATATCCAAGGTGACACCCGTATAATAACCATAGCCAAGGTGACACCCGTATAATAACCATAGCCAAGGTGACACCCATATAATAACCATAGCCAAGGTGACACCCGTGTTATAACCATATCCAAGGAGACACCCATATAACAGCCAAAGCCAAGGTGACACCCGTATAATAACCATATCCAAGGTGATACCCGTATTATAACCATATCCAAGGTGATAGCCGTATTATAACAATAGCCAAGGTGACACCCGTATAATAACTATTCTGTGTTTGTGTCATAACACAAGGTGTATTCTTTCTTTCGGCAGTTTATTTCGTCTCAGGGAATATGAATTGCTGATTTATTAAAGACTCTTGGAAAATATAATGTCTACATACATGTACGACACGTGGACACATCCTTTTCAGAACGAGTTCTTCCACGGCTACAAGCAGGCAGGCAGGAAGGAAGGTTGTGTTGCAACATGCAATGCAGGTATGAGAGTCGTATTTGAGGACAACTCAAACATCGTTAAAGACATCTATCTTGCCTATGGGTGCATGGCACCGACCACCATCCTGGCAACTAACACAAGGAACGCACTTATTGGCAGGTACTAGGATACGTTTTTTCAAATTTCAAATAAATCATAATAAATCATATAACATTAATCTTCAAAACCAACTGACATTCGAATGTTTTATCAACGTTAATGAATTTTTATATCAAAGTTCAAATCAAGACACGTAATAATGTTTGTTTTTCCAGTCGTTGGCAGGGCGATCTGGTAACCAAGGCAACCTCCCTGTTGGCTGAGGAACTGCAGCTGGAACCGGGGGTTCCTGGAGGGATGTGTGAATACAGACAATCACTTACAACCAGCTTCTTCTTTAAGTTCTACCTGTCTGTACAACGTGCTTTGTGTCATCAGGTATGGAAAACTCATTATCCTTTTTAATACAATCTATCAAGTATACATTACAGTTAAAGGTTACACGTTAGGTCATTAAATGGTTGTTGAGCGTGTGTAATTAACAAAACTAGAAACAAAATCAATGTCACTTAATTTATGTTAATTGAACTACTCTCTGGCATACCTTTGCATACAATATCCCAGCAATCTGTACAAATGTGTATATTTTTCCTGCGGGACACGGGGCACCTAGTCGTCAAAGGCGCCTATTATCGTGGGTCCGAAACCGTGATTCACCCTGTTCATGAATCTTGGCATGTCAGCACCCGACCTATTGCTCGTGGGTTTCACATCATGGTAATATATCCGGCTTTCCTCCAATAGTATGCTGACTCGCCACGATGTAAGTGTTCAAAGCGGGGTATAATAGAACAGCTCACTTAGATTTTGTTCTAAAAGATGTGTTCCTCTTTACAGAATGGGACTGCATCAGAGATACCCCGACATTTCCGAAGTGCTTTATCGGACATCGACTACCCATTGCCAAGTCCCAGTCACGTGTACGATGACGTCAGTTCCGGTCAGCCACCAGACGACATTGGGAGGACGTGTGTGATACAACGCGCTACAGGAGAGACAATGTATCTGGACGACATTGCGGCAAGTGAAGGTGAGACTTTCCATGTGGGTAACATGGCGTCAATTCAAGGTGAGATTCTCCATGCTGGTGAGATGGCGTCAAGTGAAGGTGAGATTCACTATGTTGGTGAGATGGCGTCAAGTGAAGGTGGGATTCTCCATGTTGGTGAAATGTCGTCAAGTAAAGGCGAGATTCGCCATGTGAGTTACATGACGTCAAGTGAAGGTGAGATTGTTCATGTTGGTGAGATGGCGTCAAGTGAAGGTGAGATTCTCCATGTTGGTGAGATAGCATCAGGTGAAGGTGTGATTCTCTATGTTGGTGAGATAGCATCAGGTAAGGTGAGATTCTCAAAGGGGGAGATTTGACGTCAAGTAAAGGTGACATTCTCCATGTTAGGGAGATGGCATCAGGTGAAGGTGAGATTCTCCATGTTGGGGAGATGGCATCAGGAGAAGGTGAGATTCTCCATGTTGGGGAGATGGCATCAGGAGAAGGTGAGATTCTCCATGTTGGGGAGATGGCATCAGGAGAAGGTGAGATTCTCCATGTTGGGGAGATGGCATCAGGAGAAGGTGAGATTCTCCAAGTTGGGGAGATGGCTTCAGGGGAAGGTGAGATTCTCCATGTTGGGGAGATGGCATCAGGAGAAGTAGAGATTCTCCATGTTGGGGAGATGGCATCAGGGGAAGGTGAGATTCTCCATGTTGGGGAGATGGCATCAGGAGAAGGTGAGATTCTCCATGTTGGGGAGATGGCATCAGGAGAAGGTGAGATTCTCCATGTTGGGGAGATGGCTTCAGGGGAAGGTGAGATTCTCCGTGTTAGGGAGATGGCATCAGGAGAAGGTGAGATTCTCCATGTTGGGGAGATGGCATCAGGAGAAGGTGAGATTCTCCATGTTGGGGAGATGGCATCAGGGGAAGGTGAGATTCTCCATGTTAGGGAGATGGCATCAGGGGAAGGTGGGATTATTCATGTTGGTGGCATGGCGACGAGTGAAGGTGGTAGGATTTTATGGTAGATTTAAAATGTAGACCCTTAAACACCACAAATGTATACCCGAACACACAACGGTTCAAATGGTGCACCGTTTCCATAGTTTCTATGCTGACATTACTAGTGTATATTGCAGGAGAATTATTTATGGCACTGGTGCTGAGTGAGAGACCACACGCTTGCCTTGTCAGTGTTGACGCTACGGAGGCGCTCACTCTGTCTGGGGTGGTGGACTTCATCACGCACAAAGACATCCCAGGGGAGACAACCTGGGGACAGCCGGGATCTCAAGAAGAGGTTTTCGCCTCTGACGTGGTGCATATAATGTTTGGTTATAGTTTAAATCACAATTCTAGGTGCGTTAATAAAACCTTACTAAGCATGTGTGTAAAAACTATATCTATTTCATTAAATATCAATATTTAATTTCCATTGATTGTTAAAATCCTTAAATATTTCCAGTTCCACAAACTATACATAATTTAATAAAATTACCTGATATTGAACAAGTTGTGACGATTCTGTGACGGTAACGTGTGAATGTTCATTTACAAGGTGCTGTGGCGCGGTCAGACTGTAGGCGCCATTGTTGCAGAGAGTACACGATCCGCCGAACACGCTGCTTCTATGGTCAAGATCGTCTACGAAGACCTTCCGTATATTCTTACAATTAAGGTTACACAGCTACATGTCTTTCAGTATGAAAGAGTGAAAGTAAGACCAACAGCCCATGTCGATGAGGCAGGAGAGCCAGCATAATAATGCTATGAATAATTGTCGCTTAGGGCGTCACCTTCGAGTGATGTGGGTGGCACGGGTGGCCCAGTCGTCTAAAGCGCCGCCATTCGCTGTGCAGAGTTGCGTCCCTTGGGCACGCCAGAAACCTATGATTGTGGGTTCGAATCCCGGTTCGCCCCGATTATGTTTCTAGGTTTGTCAGCACCATACCCGTGCTCGTGGGTTTCACCGAAGTGGTAAACGTCTGAGACCTGCATCACTTCGGGCTGTCCTCCCACATTGAGCTGACACGGCGCGATATAACTAGAATAATGTTAAAAGCGGCGTTAAATCAAACTCACTCACTCACTCACTCACTCACTCGAGTGATGTGACAGCCCTGGCGGGAATCATTCCTTTCCAGGAAGCAATAAAAAACGTCTCCTTCCACGGAGAACCCCAGACTCTGACCAGTGGCGACTCCGAGTCTGCCTTCAACACCTGCGACCACGTGCTGGAGGGGGAGGCTCGGACCGGGGCCCAGGAACACTTCTACCTGGAGACAATGGGCAGCCTGGTCATCCCGGGGGTGGAGGATGGGAAGATAGAGGTCTATACCGGCACACAATCTGCATCATATTCACAGGTAGGAGAAGCAATGAAAATTCAGTTTCCAAAGCGCACTTCAATTTTAGGTAAATTATGTATCCTTATTTAATACTGTTCCAGGAATCCATCTGCAAGGTTTTGGGAGTAACTTCAAACAAGGTCGTCGTCAAAGTCAAAAGTTCTGGTAAGACGTTGGCATAATAAGCTACATATAATGATTTTTTTACAAACACGCTGTTAAGCAAAGGTTATGTTGAGAGACTTATCAAAGGAAACATAATGTTTTAACTTGGGATTAACGTGAAAGGGTGAGTGAGTAAGTGAGTTGGGTTTAACGCCGCTTTTAACAGTATTCCAGTTATATCGCGACGTGTCAGCTTAATGTGGGAGAAAAGCCCGAAGTGATGCAGGTCTCCGACGTTTACCACTTCGGTAAAACCCACGAGCACGGGTATGGTGCTGACAACCTAAAACCATAATCGGGGCGAACCGGGACTCGAACCCACAATCATTGGTTTCTATGGGTCCAAGGGACGCAACTCTGCACAGCGAATCGCGGCGCCTTAGACGACTGGGCCACCGGTGCCCCCTTAACGTGAAAGGGAGGTAACTGCATAAGTATATAACTACAATAAAATGATCTGTTTTCTTTTGGTTAGGGGAACCTTTGTATGGCAAACAAACACGCAACCTGCTCACCACCCTACCAGCAGCTGTGGCAGCCCACGGGTAAGTACAACACATGTAACACTGATATTTCTTTCAGTTAATTTTAAGATGGGATTTACGGTATGCTCAATTTGAAACGAAGACCAATTAGTATGGGTACTAGTATACGCCGCTTTTAGCATTATTCCAGCAAAATCAGTGTTGAATCTTGAACGATATTACTAAAGTTGTAAATTCTCAATGACAGTATATTTGCTGGTATATTATGTTTACTTGGTTCAGAGACTTACCGCAAGTGTTTCGAAGCTATTGGATGTATCGCCATATTGACTTGAGCTCAGCTGAGATCAAAGTGTTACTGCTGTAGGGGTCTCCAGACCTGTCTCCTGAAACCATAATCCAAAATAAGTGGGATTCCAAACAAAAGAATAGATGCGGGTTTCTAACTCCTTTGAGATACCTTTTTCTGTCGATGCAAAGATTTACCTTGTGAAATGATGTTACAAGGTCGAAGACCAACACTCAGTAAATCAGCTAAGCCTGTTGTGATGGGGGGAACAGAAACGGTTTTAGATGTCTCACGAATAGCTCGTTCCAATCAAGTGCAACTATAATTGACCCCACAGATTGGGGAGACCTGTACGGTGTGTTCTGGACAGACACGTTGACACGACCATCACTGGGAATCGGTTCCCGACCTGGGCACATTACAAGGTACAGTTTTGCAAGGATTTGTTTTGTATACATTTCTAATGAGTAAGCTTCAAATTTCGTAGGTCTTGGGTGTGTATAACAGTAGTTAAACCTACGAGGAGAGGATTATACTGACAGACAAAAGATCAGGCTAAATCTTGGATTCCAATTCACAGTCAGTTGATCATGGTAATACAAGGGACGCAACCCAAATACTTCGTTATTCAAATAAATAATACTGTTCACTTTTCACAGGTTGGATTTAACAGTGACGGCAATATCATCGCCTACAGTGTCAACATCTACGTGAACGCAGGGATGTCAGTGGATCAGTCACGGGAGGTGTGTAATGTTAAACGCGTCTCTGCTTTTCTAATGACAATTTGTTGACGACTACACCTTACTTTTTTAACATACAAATATAACATTTTTATGAGTCAGGCGGCACGTATTTCAGTTCTATTTGGACATGTCAGCTTAGGAGCATGTCAAAGTCTGAGACAGTTACGATTAAAAGCTACGGGCGCGTGTACAGTGCTGAGAAACCAAGAACAGATGTCGAATTCGAACCCACGATCATAGGATCCGGGCCCGCCTAAGGAACTCAACTCTGCACAGCCTTAGACGACTGAGACGTATATTCCCCTGTAGTATTACGAAATTTATCACTCTTATGCATGGACGAATACAAAATCTGTGAGACCTTACACGAGTTTTCCATACCTAAGCAGCGTCATTCCAGTTTGAATCTATTCGTGTGATGATGTTGTTAAAACGTTCTCATTATTGACCTGAAGGTGGTTCATCAGATGATGATGCACGTCGACGCCAGTTACAGCATCCCCAACTTGACATTCAGAGGGCACTCTTGCAAAACGAACCTACCCTCTAACACACCGCTTCAAGGATTTGGCGTCCCACAAGTCACCCTGGTTACCGAGCAGATGATACAGCTAGTAGCAGACACCCTTCAAAAAAAACCAGAACAGGTGTTGTGTCCATCTTTTTAATATCCATCTATATTGTTCTCACAACAATGAAAACCCCTTATGCAAAATTGGGGCAATAAATGCGTCAATGGGTAAGTGAGTTATAAGTAGTTGTTAGCAATATCAGCTTTTCCAAGGCGGATGACACAAGCAATGACTTTCAGGAAATGTTCTGGGGGAAAATTGAATTGCCTTTGCATGTGTTTGTGACGGGTGCCACCTTTACGCTCATCATTTTCGAACACTTGGTGTCACTAGATAGTGATTCATAAGCACATGCTTAATATGCATCTTCAACGCTTTAGAATGATTTCTTATGATTATGGGGTGTTGTCGTTTTTATTCACACATTGTTCCATGCCGGGAGTCGAACCCGTGTTCGCGAGATGAGTCAACTCTTTAACCACTAGGCTACCCAACCGTCCCTAGATATCATGATTTTAAGAGTAAACAGTGTCAAGAGGAACAGCGACCTCCCAAAATAGAAGACAGAATGATATAATTTCATAATCAATAGCTCACGAATCATGGAAAGGTTACAGTGATAACACAGGTGTTATTGAAGAAAGCCATTATGCGCTATGCATAAAAGTCAATGTCGCCATTGGTGAGGTGGTGTGAGGTGAGGTGAATTGGGGTTTAACGTCGCTTTCAAGGTTATTGCGACGTGCGTGCGTGCGTGCGTGCGTGCGTGCGTGTGTGTGGCTGCTTTTAGTAGTCCGCACTAATGCCTATTTCAAAGCGCAAGCCCACTGACATACCATGCCGCAGCTTAACACATATACACCGCTGATACACTGAGCCCCAGGCTCGGTAACAAGTTGCATCTTTTAAGGTCGTTTTGTATGACGCGGCCGGAGATCTAACTCCCGACCTCCACTCTCCGGGCAGACGCTATATCCACTAGACCACGGTGGCGACCTTATGCCACCATAGAAATGCTCCTAATATGTGAAGTCACCTAAAGAGATATAGAGAATCTCACCCGAGTGTCTTTTGATGTCAAATATATCAACACGAGTTGATAAAAGTGGAAGAATTCCGAAGCTTGCCGAGGATTTTTGCCACTTTTATCATCGAGTGTTCACACAAGGGTGAGGTTTTATCTATCATCCAACATCATTCTTCCAGCTTTCTCAATTTGTAGACAGTAATAAGTAGTGTCTTCAGTGTAAAAAGTACTGCTAACAGCTTCAATAGGAGCCATTGGTGATGTCATTTGATTGTGACGTCATTTTAACCATTGACGTCACAATGTTCTTCAAAGCATTGTGATGTAATTTCATTGCAGCGATATCTACAGTGTAGATATCGCTTGATCTCATCCAGTTTTGGATGTCAATGTCAATTCTGATAAGTTTTATTTCATTATTGTATACCTGCCCAATGGCACTTAGTACGTGTGACTTCATTTATCGACATCAGTTTCACGGTTATGTAGAAAAGCCGTATATCATATAAACTTAACATTAATTATTATATATGATGCTTCATTTCTCAGGAAGTCTTCACATATATTTTCTCAATCCAGTTAATGCTTTAGAATCTCGAGTTAATCGCTTTCTTGAATTTATTTCCAGGTTCGCTTGATCAACATGTACAAAACTGATGACGTTGCACTTTGTATGGAGTTGTCTCCCTGCAATGTCAGGCGTTGTTGGGATGAATGTGTGATGGACTCCCAGTTTGAGAAACGTCGAAAGGAGGTTGATAAATTCAACAGGTAACCAAAGCAAACACAGAGAGATGAAGACAAGAAACAAACTGATAACTGAATAACGTACAATGTGTAATAAATAATTAACGTCCTCTTAACGCAGTCAAATCGTGTCAATTATGTTATGATCTTCTTTCAGTGGTTTTTTCTTAGATATTGGATATGGAAAGGGTTTTGTCGCTTTATTTTTTATTTATTTTTTATTTATTTTTTATTTATTTTTTATTATTATTATTTTTATTATTTTTATTATTATTATTATTATTATAATTATTATTTACAGATTAAAATAAAAAATGCAGCAAAGAGGTTTGGGTGATCCTTGCACATTATTTTAAGTAGTAGTAGTAGTAGTAGTAGTAGAAGTAGTAGTAGTAGTAGTAGTAGTAGTAGTAGTAGTAGTAATCTACTTGGTGCATGTAATACTACATAACATAAGCATTTAATGAGTCAAAGGTTTTTTTTCTATAAATATGCATTAGTCGTCTGCTGTGGTTCAGTAATGCGCTGAATGCGCACTAATTATGCTTCTAGGTTTGTCAGCACCATAACCGTGTTCCTGGGTTTCACCGAAATGGTACACATCTAAAACATGCATCAATTATTGTTCAAAGCAACGTAAAACCCATCTCACTCACTCACGGGAATATACGTGTATAATTATTGCTAACGGGAGTATATAAGATAATGCTTGTACACGATAATCTCACTTTTTGTCTGTCCCGCAATGTATGTCATGCTGTTTCTCTGTCCTATATGTAGTGAGAATAGATGGAGGAAGCGCGGCATATCAATGGTACCAGTGAGAGTCGCCATTGCTTGTCCTGCAGCAGAATACAACATACATCAGGTCAGTACAACACGAATCTTTGATAGGTTGCAACCGCGTTCCGTGTTGTTCACCCAACTCCGTACTCAAGCAGATTAGTTTGAAAATACACTAAAGAAATGCCAACAGAATGCATATCCTTCCATTTGATGTTTTGTTATGCAACATGTTTCAGGATAATCATGTTATTAAGCGTTGCCAGTATTTACTTTTCAAACGTTGTGGGATTGTATAATTATGCCTGTGCTCATTAATTCACATCCAACTCGATTTCCTCCTAAGTCTTCAGATTTACAAATGACATTGCCACCAACCATTCACATCTATCTTTTACACTTGGCATTTACACCAGCCATTCACATCTGCCCTTTACATTTGACATTTACACAAAACATTTACGCCTATCTTTTACACTTGATATTTATATTAAACATTCACATCTGTCTTTTACACATGACATTTACACCTAACATTCACACCTATGTATATTATACATTTGTACTTCCCCAGGAGGTGAGTGTCACTGTGAAGATTGACGCGGATGGATCTGTCGTCATCTCGCCGGTCGGGGGGACGCCGGGGCATAGCGATAACACCCAGATGGTCCAGGTAGGTGTCCACGATCACATAACTCATGACATTATACAAACGAAGAAGATTCCGGTGGCTTCACAATTCAATACACTTCCGTAGAAACTCTAAACCACTCGAGACGGTGTCTAAACAGTACCCTCAAACGAATCCGTGAAGATCAATGATTACTTCAACCTGAGCTAATAGTGGATAGAAATCACAGTGACTGTTATTCATGGTATTTGGTGCGCTTCTGTGATATTGATGGAAACTGATTGTAATGTAAAAGTCAACGTACAACAATTTCAAGACCCGTGAAGATCCGGGGTAGAATAGGTCTTCAGCAACCCATGCTTGCCGTAAAAGGCGACTATGCTTGTCGTAAGAGGTGACTAACGTGATCGGCTGGTCAGGGTTGATGCATGTCATCGTATCCCAATTGCGTGGATCGATGCTCATGATGTCAATCACTGGAGGGTCAGAACCAGATTTGATTATTTACAGACCACCGTCATAGAGCTGGAATATTACTGAGTGTGGAGTTAAACAACAAACAAACAAACAAACTCATGTGGTTCCCTGAGAAGGTACTTGAGCGGTACTGACTATAGTCAGACTATAGTTACAATACAATACCATGTAATCTGCATTCACAAACCTACACAACCAACTGCCTAGTTTATGTCCAACAGATCGTCAGTGATGAGCTAAATGTGCCCACATCCTTCGTCCGGATTGATGAGAGCAGCGAGACTGGCAACCCGTCACTTAATGCAGACGCAACCAATGAAGACATCTGGGGCCTTGCGGTGCTGGTCAGTCGTGTTGGTTCTTTACAAGGACGTAAAGTTCAACATTATAGTCTGTCTGTTCTTTTGTGCACTTTGCAAATGGGCTGTGCCCTGTGCCTAACAACGAGGCGAAACCCATTATCCTTGCGTTAGCCTGTCATAGTTGAATTAGTAACCTGGGCCCACTTTCACAAAGCGATCTTAGCGCAAATACTGTCCTAAGCCTATGTTAAAGTATGGGAGTTGCGATCATCATAGCGCTAAGATAGATGTGTGCAAGTGGGCCCAAGACTGTTACGTAATAAGCACAACCTTAAAGTGTTTAGTGGTATTTTACATTTCACATGGAGTATACTGATTGCATGTAAGTAACAGTGAGCTGTTTGTATACTATTTTGGCCGGAGGTTTTAGGTAAATTCTCGTGGGTTTTTTTCAATGCACGTCTCATCATTTTTCATCTCCAGGATGCGTGTCAGATACTCTATGGCCGCCTATTACCTTTTATTGGTGTCAGCTCTGATGAAACGTGGGAGGATGTGGTAGGTCGCTCATTCTCACTAAGTACTGATTTCCGATCAAAGTACAACCATCCAAATAGGATGTGGTAGGTCGCTCATTCTCTTAGTACTGATTTCCGATCAATGTACAACCATAAAAATAGGATCTGGTAGGCCGCTCATTCTCTTAGTACTGATTTCCGATCAATGTAAAACCATCAAAATAGGATCTGGTAGGCCGCTCATTGTCACTAAGTACTGATTTCCGATCAAAGTACAACCATCAAAATAGGATATGGTAGGTCTCTCATTCTCTTAGTACTGATTTCCGATCAGTGTTCAACCTTTAAAATAGGATGTGGTAGGTCGCTCATTCTCACTAAGTACTGATTTCCGATCAAAGTACAACCATCAAAATAGGATCTGGTAGGTCGCTCATTCTGACTAAGTACTGATTTCCGATCAAAGTACAACCATCCAAATAGGATGTGGTAGGTCGCTCATTCTCTTAGTACTGATTTCCGATCAAAGTACAACCATCAAAATAGGATCTGGTAGGTCGCTCATTCTGACTAAGTACTGATTTCCGATCAAAGTGCAACCATCAAAATAGGATCTGGTAGGTCGCTCATTCTGACTAAGTACTGATTTCCGATCAAAGTACAACCATCCAAATAGGATGTGGTAGGTCGCTCATTCTCTTAGTACTGATTTCCGATCAAAGTACAACCATCAAAATAGGATCTGGTAGGCCGCTCATTCTCAATAAGTACTGATTTCCGATCAAAGTACAACCATCAAAATAGGATCTGGTAGGTCGCTCATTCTCAATAAGTACTGATTTCCGATCAAAGTACAACCATCAAAATAGGATCTGGTAGGTCGCTCATTCTCTTAGTACTGATTTCCGATCAAAGTACAACCATCAAAATAGGATATGGTAGGTCTCTCATTCTCTTAGTACTGATTTCCGATCAATGTACAACCTTTAAAATAGGATGTGGTAGGTCGCTCATTCTCACTAAGTACTGATTTCCGATCAAAGTACAACCATCAAAATAGGATCTGGTAGGTCGCTCATTCTGACTAAGTACTGATTTCCGATCAAAGTACAACCATCCAAATAGGATGTGGTAGGTCGCTCATTCTCTTAGTACTGATTTCCGATCAAAGTACAACCATCAAAATAGGATCTGGTAGGTCGCTCATTCTGACTAAGTACTGATTTCCGATCAAAGTGCAACCATCAAAATAGGATCTGGTAGGTCGCTCATTCTGACTAAGTACTGATTTCCGATCAAAGTACAACCATCCAAATAGGATGTGGTAGGTCGCTCATTCTCTTAGTACTGATTTCCGATCAAAGTACAACCATCAAAATAGGATCTGGTAGGCCGCTCATTCTCAATAAGTACTGATTTCCGATCAAAGTACAACCATCAAAATAGGATCTGGTAGGTCGCTCATTCTCAATAAGTACTGATTTCCGATCAAAGTACAACCATCCAAATAGGATCTGGTAGGTCGCTCATTCTCTTAGTACTGATTTCCGATCAAAGTACAACCATCAAAATAGGATGTGGTAGGTCGCTCATTCTCACTTAGTTCTGATTTCCGATCAAAGTACAACCATCTAAATAGAATATGGTAGGTAGCTCATTCTCACTAAGTTCTGATTTCCGATCAAAGTACAACCATCAAAATAGGATCTGGTAATTCGGTCATTCTCACTAAGTTCTGATTTCCGATCAAAGTACAACCATCCAAATAGGATGTGGTAGGTCGCTCATTCTCTTAGTACTGATTTCCGATCAAAGTACAACCATCAAAATAGGATCTGGTAGGTCTCTCATTCTCTTAGTACTGAGTTCCGATCAAAGTACAACCATCAAAATAGAATATGGAAGGTAGCTCATTCTCACTAAGTTCTGATTTCCGATCAAAGTACAACCATCAAAATAGGATCTGGTAATTCGGTCATTCTCACAAAGTTCTGATTTCCGATCAAAGTACAACCATCAAATAGGATGTGGTAGGTCGCTCATTCTCACTAAGTTCTGATTTCCGATCAAAGTACAACCATCAAATTAGGATCTGGTAATTCGGTCATTCTCACTAAGTTCTGATTTCCGATCAAAGCACAACCATCAAAATAGGATGTGGTAGGTCGCTCATTCTCTATGTACCTATTTCCGATCAAAGTACAACCATCAAAATAGGACCCGGGAGGTCTCTCATTCCCACTAAGAACTGATTTCCGATCAAAGTACAACCATCAACATATGATCTGGTAGGTCGCTCATTCTCACTAAGTTCTGATTTCCGATCAAAGTACAACCATCAAAATAGGATCTGGTAGGTCTCTCATTCACACTAAGTTCTGATTTCCGATCAAAGTACAACCATCAAAGTAGGACCCGGGAGGTCTCTCATTCCCACTAAGTTCTGATTTCCGATCAAAGTACAACCATCAACATAGGATCTGGTAATTCGCTCATTCTCACTAAGTTCTGATTTCCGATCAAAGTACAACCATCAAAATAGAATATGGTAGGTAGCTCATTCTCACTAAGTACTGATTTCCGATCAAAGTACAACCATCAAAATAGGATCTGGTAGGTAGCTCATTCTCACTAAGTTCTGATTTCCGATCAAAGTACAACCATCAAAATAGGATCTGGTAATTCGGTCATTCTCACTAAGTTTTGATTTCCGATCAAAGTACAACAATCAAAATAGGATATGGTAGGTCGCTCATTCTCACTAAGATCTGATTTCCGATCAAAGTACAACCATCAAAATAGTGTCTGGTAGGTCTCTCTCACTAATTACTTATCAAAGTACAACCATTAAAATACTACTACGGCCTTATTCTAGAAAATAAACTATCAATGCTCTTGCATGACCGTGCGTAGATGTTAAGATATGGATCGTATTGGTACTTTACACTGAACTATACAGATGCCTACTTTTAGCGGTTTCTGTTCTGCAGGTTCTTGCTGCGGTCAACGAAAGAGTCGACCTGATGGCTTCTGGTGTCTACAGGTAACAGCAATTAGCAAACCGTCATAAGATGTATCTTAGCGAAATGATATAAACGTCTAAATATACACGGAATACATGTCGTCTTTGTTGTGGCCATTTTAAAATTTGTTACATTGATTTTTGAGTGAGTAAATAAGGGATTTCGGTCTTCCGCCGCTTTAAGCAACACTCAAGAAAAATCACAGCGGGGAACACCAGAACATTAATATTTGAGTTATAATTACATTACATAGTTATTAAGTAGTCGTTTACACGGACGGAACGGCTTAACACAGTTTATAAAATGACGCATTTTGCTACAGGGCGCCTGGTCTTCACTGCGACGCCGCTAGCGACAACGACTCTGACCGGAACTACGTTGTGTGTGGCGCCAGCTGTTCTGAGGTCGAGGTCGACTGTTTGAGTGGGGAGCTTCGCGTGACCAGGACTGATCTCGTCATTGACGCCGGTCGCAGTGCAAACAAAGCGGTCGACATTGGCCAGATTGAGGGTGCATTTATGCTAGTGGGTTTGTTTGTTTTTTGTTTGGGTTAGTGGGTGGGCGTTTGGTGAATGGGTGTGTGAATGAGTGAGTGAGTGTATGATCAACGACCCTTGCTGCCAGGGTACGAAGACACACAATCAGGCTTGTCACACATTGTTGCCACCTGACCCTAAGTTTAGCCCCTCATCAGGAACCTATTCTACCCAGGAATCCTCCTGTGATGGGAGTGTCATACGATCGTGGCTCAGAAGTTGTTTGATCAAGGTTACATCATTCAAGGCCTCAGTAAAGCTTTCAAAGAGTCACGTGGGGGACATTTCTAAATCATCGACACGAGATTTCTATTGGATATGGAAAGTGTTCAGTCGCTTTATTGACATTTTGTTCATTTGTGTTGAATGGCATTCAGTGACGCGTCGCAGCGCTACACCGTTATACCCTTGTGAAAAGCAGGTTTTTGTGACAGTTTGTTGTCGGAGAAGTACATTGTTAAACCAATAATTTATACCAGAACAGCCATGTCTTTAAAAGACTTTGTGACTTTAAATGTGACTTTAAGGTACCTTGGAAAGTCATCAATGGTTTAGTACAGCGAACCTCTATCAGCCATACATCCGAACGATTACTATTTAGTAAATCTACAAACACAACACCATCACAAAGTATATAGTGACAGCGTGAGCCTGCATATGAACTTTATAGCAGCATTGCCATGTATAGAAACATTGGGCTGTGGGGTAGCCTAGTGGTTAAAGTGTTCATTCGTCACGCCAAAGACGCAGGTTCTATCCCCACCTGGGTTCAATGTGTGAAGCCTATTTCTGGTATCCTCCGTTGTGGCTTTGATGGGATATTGCTAGAAAGGCGTAACATCATACTCACTTCTTCACCATGCTTTCCGACCTACTCATTGTCCCTTCCTCTGTACAGGGCTACGGTCTATACGTCCTTGAGGACTACCAACTCACCCCTAGCGGGATGCTGCTCACCCAGGGGCCCGGCACCTACAAGATACCTTCCATCGGGAATATACCCACCCAGATGAACGTTCACCTGCTAAAAGATGTCGACAATGACAGGACAATGGACGAGTCGAAGGTTGGTAGAACACTTTGTTAATCTGGAAGGGGTTCCAACACCGAGATAAGGTGATTCAGGTTTAAGGTATTTTGAAGCTGCCAGTATTTATCAGTGTCACGCTCTTCCCAAATACACACCATGATGAAATATCACTGCATCATAAAATGTACTTACGTATACTGTCTAAGGTCTTTTGGGGGCACGGGGGACCCAGTCGTCAAAGGCGTCGCATGTCTTTTTGCAGAGTTGCGTCCCTTTTGCACGCCAGAAACCAAAGCAGACACACCGCTAAGTGGAATACTGTAACAATAAATCAATGCTTTTCAAAGCGGCGCTAACCCCATCTCACTGACACAATTAAGTCTTTTCTCATTGTCAATGGAATAATGATCGCCATGTGGGAGATAGGGTACGGAACTACCCCTGAACGTCCTGCTGTACATACAGAAGTATACATGCACTATGTTTCAGGGGCGTTGGGGTAGCCTAGTGGTTTAAGCGTTCGCTCGTCACGCCGAAGACAAGGGTTCGATTCCCCACATTGGTACATTGTGTGAAGTCCATTTCTGGAGTCCCCCAGCGTGATATTGCTGGACTATTGCTAAAAGCGGCGTAAAACCATACTCACTCACTCACTCACTTCTCATTACCACTCAGAACCATACAAATGCTCATTTAGATCCGTGTCCATCATCTTGCAGGGTGTTACCGACATGTCAGTGGTTCTTTCACTATCTGCATTCTTCGCCATCGCTGACGCCGTCAAATCAGCCAGAGCAGATGCAGGCTGCACAGACCGGTTCCAGCTGGACTGTCCTGCTACTCCTGAAGCAGTCAGAATGGCGTGTCAGGACCAGTTTACTCAAAAGGTTACACACCTAATAAGATTCATCATTAGAAATTAACATTTCGTCATATGCATCACCCCACATTGACTTTTCACACGCCGTTGGATTTCGGGTTAGAATAGATCCCAACCAGGCAATGCTTGTCGTAAGACGCGGGTAAAATGATCAGGTGCTCAAGCTCGGTAATTCTGTTGATAGCCCATCATCTTACCCGAACGCCATGGGTCGATGCTCATAACATCAGTCACTTGAATGTCTTGTCAAGTCTCGAATATTTACAAGTCGTCATATAGCTGGAATATTACTGAGTGCCGCGTTAAACAACAAACAAACGAACGAACGAACGAACAAACACATCACACTTGACACCAACGTCAGCCTAAGATCTGTGGTCAAAACATTTTCAGTCACCGGAGTATATACAAATAGTGCAAATCTCTACTGGGATTATTTACTTTTGGTGTACACTTCCAATTTGAATACAAACCGTGAAGATCCGGGGTAGAATAGGTCTTCAGCAGCCCATACTTGTCATAAAAGGCAACCATGCTTGTCGTAAAAGGCGACTATGCTTGTCGTAAAAGGCGACTAACGGGATCGGGTGGTAGGACTCGCTGACTTGGTTGCATTTCATCATATCTTAATTGCGTAGATATTTGAATACACGCTGCGATTGCAGCCAGGGCAGTGGATATCATATAATGAATGTTCATACCCTGGGCTTTCCGCAAACACCGGATGTCATCACTGATTTTCAGTGATCCATTTATATTATTCCTTGCACCGCTCGTTTGCTTTTTACGTCCAATATCGTGTTTCGGCGGATAATCGAGACTGGCTTATTTGTCGTTTGCGTTTTATATTTCATATACAAATTTGTCACCAGCGGTGTGATATTGGTTTTACGAGCCGAATTGACACATACAACGGATTTATAATTACGAGGTCAGTTACAAAGAATCTATTTCGGTGAAATATTTGCGTGTAAAATGTAAATGCTATCTCGCAGACCGTTGGTATGGTAACAGAGTAAAGAGTGACGAGCGAGAGACGTCACGTCAAACATTATGACGTCATTATATCCGTAGAGCCTTGTGGCTGAAAGCAACAAAAACCTTTCCTTTATGATACGAAATCTCTAATAAGAGTCCATTGATTGGTTGGTTGGTTGGTTTGTTGTTTAACGCCGAACTCAGCAATATTCCAGCTATATGACGGCGGTCTGTAAATAATCGAGTCTGGACCTGACAATCCAGTGATTGATATCATGAGCATCGATCCACGCAAGTGGGATCGATGAAATGTATCAACCAAGTCAGCGAGCCTGACCACCCGATCCCGTTAGTCGCCTTTTACGACAAGCATAGTCACCTTTTATGGCAAGCGTGGGTTGCTGAAGACCTATTCTACCCCAGAATCTTCACGGGTCAAGAGTCCATTGAACGATTCAACCTATATTATAAGCATGTGTTATGAATCACTATCAAATAAAGATGATACAAGCGTTGGCGAAAAAGGTGAGAGCATCCAAACACACCAGTGGCACCCGTCACAAACACTTGCAAAGGCGACACAAGACGAAAGTCGTGTGGTTGACTTGCCAATCAGACGCCTAGACTCTTAAACGAGTAATGCTGAAGTTTTTTTCAACAGATCCATCATTCGTCAGACGACGCATATACTCCGACGACGATAGACCTGTCCTAGAGGCACCCTGTGATGGCAGTGTGGATTGGGCGAGTTGACATATTGTGATTTCGCATGGGAAGATACTAGTTGTCATACATGTAACTAGTTATTGACACGGTGACTGTGCTGAAAGAGAATTGTGGTAATGGAGCATTGTTTTGTAATTTTGTACGGTTTATTTCCATTCGAAACCTCCACGTCGGGTTACCTTTCATGTAATTGTTCGAAGAAAGTGTTATATATGGTTGAAACACCTAGCTATATGGACCCTTTACAACGATAAACATTTGCAAAAAAAGCAAAATATAATTATATATAATTCCAAGGTTTGAGGTTGGAAGGTCATGTACTATACATGCTTATGCGTTTTGAAAATAAGTAGGAAAAAACACTGTTGAGAAGACATATGTCTTTGTCTGTCCGTATCAAAACAATATATCGATTCAAGAGTACTATTTTCTACAAGGTGGAAAATACTTAGAGAATAATGAAGGAGCTACAGGGAATTATGGGTGAATGTAAGATGTCCGGCATTCATTCATGAGGGACAGATACATATAGAATACTAAACTCCCTCCCGTGTAATACCAATTTTATGAAACAAGTGAATAGTTCTGGTATACCAGAACTATTCATGAGTTTCGTAAAATTGGTATTACACATGAGGGACTTAAGTATTAGATGTATTACTTGCAATTAAGAACCTTTTTTTAGAATCTAACTGGCGCATGTAAATAGGCAGACACATACACGCTCCACAGCAAAACACAATTGGGTTGAACAGAATAATACTTCAAAAACGTCAAAAGTTAACAAGTATTAATTTAATAGCGTACAACGACCCAACTTTTGAATTCAGGCGTCCGTTCCACAAAGTTATCGTAGCGCTAAGGTTATACTTTAACATAGACTTACGACTGTCCTTGCGCTAGGACGGTTGCCTTGTGGAACGGGGCCCTGCACCTCAAAGTTGACAATCACGTCACAATACATTATGACGTAATTTGTGGAATTGTGTTGCAAGATTCACCGGTAAAAACAATGCCATGTGACGTCAGCCTAGCAACAGGGTTGCTGGAGTCATCGAGTATGAATAAGCTCCTCTCGGTGACCTAACATCTCCACACGCAATGGCGTTGAATAAGCCAAGAGATGTTGAGAGCTTTCAAAATTGTTTATGAAACGTGTTCCCGCAGTTCATGAACACGCGCTTTGGTATTACACAATGTGTAATATAGCTTTCTTACACACCTGTGGGTGAAAAAACCCATTTGAGATAACTGGTACCAAACATATGTGTGAGATCAAATTCCAGGCCAGTGATTGGTTACTCCATGGTGATGACCTAAGGTCAGATTATGACGGACTACTTCACTCACCTACGCAGAGTTCCATGCGACCGGCAGCCAGCCAGCATAGTACCTCTGCCACAGGCCATGTGACGATTCGTCACATCTTTCACAGTCCATTCAAGATATTGCATATGCTTTTTATCCGTTTCATGTTTGACAAGTCTACACATTTTCATAAACAAATGTCAAAGAATGTTTGCGTAGTTATCCTTTGTTTACATTGATTGTACGGCTCCACGTGCTGTCATCGAAGCCCAACGGAGAGCTAGCAACACGGTCACTTTGATGTATAAATATATATTGTCATGTTGCAGTTGTAGTAGCATATCTATATAATTATGCAAAACAATTTGTTAAGCGCCCCCAAATACTTGCATTAGTCCGTTCTATATTGATTTCTGAAAAAGCGCCTTTGTTTACAAACAAGTTCGGTCACGTGATATGCAAATTAGCCTGTGGCAGTGGTGTTATGCTGAGTCACCACTGCGCCGGAGTGTGGGACTACTTTCCAGATCGTAAATCACTGATAAGTTGCTTTGCGTCAGTGGAATGTCGACCTACATCTGTGTTGAACGTAATGGTTTTAGAGTATTATAGCATACTCCGGCGCAGTGGTGACTCAACATAACGCCACTGCCACAAGCTAATTTTAGATAACAATCGATGACGTCATATAGTATGTTTCTCAATAATGACGCACCGTGTAGTCGTATGGCTTCAGTGAGTGAATGAGTGAGTGAGTGAGTTTGGTTTGAGGCCGCTTTTAACAGTATTCCAGTTATATCGCGGCGTGTCAGCTTAATGTGAGAGGAAAGCCCGAAGTGATGCAGGTCTCAGACGTTTACCACTTCGGTGAAACCCACGAGCACGGGTATGATGCTGACAAACCTAGAAACATAATCGGGGCGCACCGGGATTCGAACCCACGATCAAAGGTTTCTGGCGTATCCAAGGGACGCAACTCTGCACCGCGAATCGTGGCGCTTTAGACGACTGGGCCATCCGTGCATCTCGTATGGCTTCAAATGAAAAACCAACATTCAGATTCACTAAAATGCACATGTGCAAAGTTATGACATTCTTTCTACCCTTATGGGGGCGATGTAATAATATCTATGTGTAATATTTACTGGACATAACTATTCGCAGTACCCTCCATTAAGTATTGTATAACCATATAACGGCTTGGTGAAGATGTTCATATGCACCTCTTTATCTTCCTTTATATTCAAATCATCTTGCCAGTAGCATGTCAATAAAATAGTCAATATTGTTCCTAGGTACATAATGTATTATTTCCGATGATTATAATTACTTGTAGAAATAATATTGTTAGAAATCGCGTATTTCGATCAGATGTCAATTTGAGAAGGCAGAAAACTGTTTTACTCTTTTATCGAATGACTTTAGTGTTATGTTATACTTTTTAGTTAGACTGCTGCACTTGATGTCCAAGTGCTCGCTCTTGTTTTCCGTGAAATAAAAATGTCCTGTGACCAAACGTCGCCTTTATCATGCTTTGTCCTTGTTTTGTTTGTTTGTTGTTTAACGCCGCACTCAGCAATATTCCAGCTATATGACGGCGGTCTGTAAAATAATCGAATCTGGACCAGACAATCCAGTCATTGACATACTGAGCATCGATCCACGCAATTTGGATCGATGACATGTATCAACCAAGTCAGCGAGCCTGACCACCCGATCCCGTTAGTCGCCTTTTACGACAAGCATAGTCGCCTTTTACGCAAGTCTGGGTCGCTGAAGACCTTTTCTACCTATTCTACCCCGGAATCTTCAAGGGTCCGATTTCTGAAACCTGATCAGACTATCGTCGGTTACTTTCCAGTCACATCTCTTTCAATAGACATATTATGAGTTTTAAAGGTTTATGAATCAGTTTCGTGGTGCAGTGAAAAATGGAGAAAAAAAACGTCGCTCTATGAATATTCAGAATATAATTGAAAGCAAATAGACTCTGTGTGACGGTATGATGTATGTGAGAGAAACATGACACAACACTTTAGAGGACTGTCCCACAGGAGATATCGCTTGGGTAAGATCAAGCGAACATTGTAGATATCGCTCCGATGAAATTGCATCACACTGCTTTGCAGACCATTGTGACGTCATTGGTTACATGACGTCACAATTAAATGACATCACTAATGGCTCTGCTACTGAAGCTGTTAGCAGTACTTTTAACACTTTGTCACTGTTTATTACTGTCTACAAACTGAAAAGGTTGGAAGAATCATGTTGGACGATAAATAGAATCTCACCCTTGCGTCTTTTGATATCAAATATATCAACACTCGTCGATAAAAGTTTAAAACTCTTATCGACTCGTGTAGATATATTCGTTATCAAACGACACTTGGGAGGGATTCTCCATTTATCATCCGAAACTGGCTCCCACAGGAGATATCGCTTGGATGAGATCAAGCGATATCCACACTGTAGATATCGCTGCAATGAAATTACATCACAATGCTTTGCAGACCATTGTGACATCACTGGTTACCATGACGTCACAATCAAATGACATCACTAATGGCTCTGCTACTGAAGCTGTTTGCAGTACTTTTTACACTGAAGACACTGTTTTTACACTGAAGACACTGCTAATTACTGTCTACAAATTGAAAAAGGTGAAAGAATCATGTTGGATGATAAATAAAATCTCACCCTCGTGTCTTTTGATATCAAATATATCAACACTCGTTGATAAAAGTGGCAAAAATCCTCGGCAAGCCTCGGAATTTTTCCCTTTATATCAACTCGTGTTGATATATTCGATATCAAACGACACTCGGGTGAGATTCTCCATATCCCACGTACCTCCAGCTGATGGCCTTCCTATTTCTCGACACCGGGTTGGAACAGGTATGTACATGTTAGCGATGTGTGCTTCACGCGTGTTTATCTTGTACGCAAATAACATGGTGACATTCCGACGACTGTACAGTTAGATCAAACTGCTTGAAGATTGTGCTTGATGTTGAACTCGGCCTGTACTATCAAGACCTCACGATGCCAAATCTAAACAAACTTAATCTGTGATCAGTGTATGACAGAGCACTTATGTGCACCGAATTAGGTTACAACTATACATAGATTGTCATTATCAGGTTCCTCAGTGTAACGAGACACCACGCGATGGCTGGGGCTGACACCTTGATTTTCTTTGTCAATGGAAGAAAGGTACGTGGGTTTAGACAACACAATCAATAATATTTCCGTGTGGTTCGTTAATCCGAACATTTCTTAATCCGGGTGATCTCGTGATTTGCGGTACCCGGCAGGAGGAGATGGCAATGTTGCTAACCATCTAGCGCCTAACAGGCAGCTTGGGTTGTATACGCCCCAGGGAGCTGAGAATGGCTCCTGAGTGCACCGGCATCAGGCAACGAACACTTACTGTTTCATGCAAATTGTGTGAGTAGCGGGTGTCACTGTAGGGCAGAACATGCGTTTCAGTGATCCATTCAAACAATTGTCACCGTTGTGTTTGCCTTTTTTGCCCAATGTATATCTGTTTCGGCGGATAATCGATGCTGGTTGTTCTCGTTCGTTGATGTTGAAATTTGACTCTACTTCTTTCTCTTAACATGAAACCTGGTAAATACTGCGTCGTAAGTAATAGTAAGGGTTCATTACATATAGAAACAAATGCGTGAGTGTTCTTTTGTAGGTCACCCGTAAACCTTTTTACAGTGCTAGTGCTGGTCCACCTATTCTGACTGATTCTTTTAGAATATTTTTTACTTATGATTGAAGCCCGATCCTCAATAGCCGGCCTCTACAACTATAGGATAGCTGGTGACTTTGTCTGTCAAGATCAAGGAGTTAATAGCGTAGAGGCCCCCAGGGCAACGTCCTACTTGATAAGCCGATCTGCACCGTACGTGCTTTGAGTGCACAGTACATGTACATGTATATGTATTTAGGTCAGTGTGATTTATAACACCGTTCGGTGACTAAAAATGATTTGATCACCGGTCTTAGGCTGACGTGGGTGTTAAGTATGATTTGTTTGTTCGTTTGTTTTTTGTTTAACGCGGCAAATAATAATCGTAAATAATCGACTCTGGACCAGACAATCCAGTGATTCACTTCGATTCACGCAATTGGGATACGATGACATGCTTCAAGCAAGTCAGCGAGCCTGACCACCCGATCCCGCAAGTCGCCTCTTACGACAAGCATAGTCGCCTTTTACGGCAAGCATGGGTTGCTGAAGACCTATTCTACCCCGGATCTTCACGCATCTTAACACCGCTTAGAACGCGATGAGACAGAAGTGCAAAGTGCAAACATCATGTGAATCAAGTTAAACAAAGTTTATGCATATGCAATAATGGGGCAAACCTTACACGATTTTTTTATTTATTTATTGACATCATATGCATCGATCCACGCAATAAGGATACAATGACATGCATCAACAAAATCATCGAGCCTGACCACCCGATCCCAGTCGTCGCTTCTTACAACAAGCCTAACATGACCCTGCTACGTGTATTTACATGTTTACAGTTTACAGAAGAAAACGAAGGACAGAAACTAAATACAGACATTTGGCTCACTTCAATGTTCTCCTTTTACAAATTGCACATAAATTTATTTATACAGTTATACCAATATTTCAATAAATCATTATTGACATACAACATGTACCATTGTTTAAACACGATGACATCTGATGAAAACGTACCTTCGTTCATGAGTACATTTGGCTCGGTGCTTTGCATTGCCAGTAACGAATAAGTAGAGTTTAGTTTGGAGCACGCTGCAGTAGGCTGTTAAGACAGAGAAAAGTCATTTTACTGAAATCGAAACATTTTTGCCAATAATTTATAATGAGTGAACTTTTCTTAACCACAATTTTTGGGTTTTTTATTACACAAGTACAACTAATTGAGGCCTTTTCCAAAACTGACTGTCCAGTTCACGTATGTTTCTTTCATCTTTTTATCATTTGAAATAAAAGCGACAAAACCCTTTCAATATCCATTAGAAACAACTGCAAATAACAGATATCATGAGCAAGGGTTTATGAATCACTATCAAATACTATGATACCAGGTATTCACGAAAAGGTGAGCGTATTCCACACCCACTGGTGGCACCCGTCACAAACACATGCAAAGGCGGGTCAAATGTTCACATGAAAAGACACAGGAACATATAGTACAAGTCAAAATAGGGAATTGTATCAGACATCGTTTTTGTGACTGATGGAAATTTGGAAATTTGGAAATGTCCTCCACATGTCCACCATAAAACTTTTTGAAAGCCTTACTGAGGCCTTGAATGTTAGCACCTTAATCAAACAACTTTTGAGCAGGGGTTGAATGACGCTTTTTGATATCTTGGGAGAAAGAGCTTGATTGATTGTTTCTTAAAAGTTGTGAAATACTAGTATAGACACCAAGGGCTGGAGCTGCAGAAATATTGCTGAACATGAAGGGAAAGTTGACCATTGGAAAGTTGAAGTCACCCCTCTTGTCATACAGTCCTACGGAGAGTGTTTTGTCACTCTGAATCTTTTTGCATAGATCTCAATATGAAACAGATGAAGCGGTCTGACTGGTCTCTTTTATTTCCAGTTCAGGTGGGCAAATCAGTGGAAGGGAATTCATCGAAAGGATATTTAAAAAATGACTGATTTATCTGTGTCGGGTTTTGACTCGTATTGTGTCAGCTGCCAAATTGAGAGCCTTCTTTACAATTGTTTTCATTTTCACCATCTAAATAGCTTTGCAAACAAGGGCTACACCACATTTCGAACATGAACAGAACATTCATATTTTGCTTATTTCCCATAAATATATGAATATTTCTCTACAGATAGAAGAGAAGGATCCGGAACCCCTCACCAGTCTCTTGGATTATCTACGCTACACGTGTATCCTTATCTACTTACGTATGCATTAATAAATGCAGGGATTTAAACAAGGCAATTTTTCTCATTACTCGGCTTCCGAACCACTAATGATTTATAATACAAAATTCACATTTATGGTTTAGATACATTGTATTATGAATGCAAATATTATTCATTTAAAAATTAAAATTACTTTGAAGGCTTCATTAATACAGAGATGGATGATGAAAAAAGGCTTTAGGTTCAGTACATAATCACTATCACTCTTTCGTTATGGTATATACCATGAGTGAGTTGGTTAACATTTGACGTCGCATCGGCAATGCCTAAGTCACGAGAACAATGCAATAACATCCTTTGATGCACCTTAACTAGTGAAGTGCGCCTGACCGGAAGTAAGGCTGGGTGTAAAGAAGGAGGATGCGGCGCCTGTACCGTCATGGTGTCGGAATACGACAAAACTTCAGAAAAAATCAGGTATTCAAAAACCTACATTTATGAAATCCTTTTCAAAACAAACGGACCACCAATATTTAGGTCAAACATCTGAAAGAATGATTTATATAGGTAATAACATTGCCATGGTTTCGTATATATTATTCTCTTAAGTTAAACCAGTGTATGCATAATATGATATACCAACCAATGTATTTTGTTGAAGACATTATTCTGCCAATGCCTGTATTCTGCCGCTATGCTGCCTACATGGTCTGGCTGTCACTACAGTAGAGGGTATAGGCAGCACCAAGACCAGGCTACACCCAGTACAGGTAAGTCCGTTCTCTCCATGGTCTGGCTGTCACTACAGTAGAGGGTATAGGCAGCACCAAGACCAGGCTACACCCAGTACAGGTAAGTCTGTTCTCTCCATGGTCTGGCTGTCACTACAGTAGAGGGTATAGGCAGCACCAAGACCAGGCTACACCCAGTACAGGTAAGTCTGTTCTCTCCATGGTCTGGCTGTCACTACAGTAGAGGGTATAGGCAGCACCAAGACCAGGCTACACCCAGTACAGGTAAGTCTGTTCTCTCCGTGGTCTGGCTGTCACTACAGTAGAGGGTATAGACAGCACCAAGACCAGGCTACACCCAGTACAGGTAAGTCTGTTCTCTCCATGGTCTGGCTGTCACTACAGTAGAGGGTATAGGCAGCACCAAGACCAGGCTACACCCAGTACAGGTAAGTCTGTTCTCTCCATGATCTGGCTGTCACTACAGACAGTAGAGGGTATAGGCAGCACCAAGACCAGGCTACACCCAGTACAGGTAAGTCCGTTCTCTCCATGGTCTGGCTGTCACTACAGTAGAGGGCATAGGCAGCCCAAAGACCATGCTACACCCAGTACAGGTAAGTCTGTTCTCTCCATGGTCTGGCTGTCACTACAGTAGAGGGTATAGGCAGCACCAAGACCAGGCTACACCCAGTACAGGTAAGTCTGTTCTCTCCATGGTCTGGCTGTCACTACAGTAGAGGGTATTGGCAGCACAAAGACCAGGCTACACCCAGTACAGGTAAGTCTGTTCTGTCCATGGTCTGGCTGTCACTACAGTAGAGGGTATAGGCAGCACCAAGACCAGGCTACACCCAGTACAGGTAAGTCTGTTCTCTCCATGGTCTGGCTGTCACTACAGTAGAGGGTATAGGCAGCACCAAGACCAGGCTACACCCAGTACAGGTAAGTCTGTTCTCTCCATGGTCTGGCTGTCACTACAGTAGAGGGCATAGGCAGCCCAAAGACCATGCTACACCCAGTACAGGTAAGTCTGTTCTCTCCATGGTCTGGCTGTCACTACAGTAGAGGGTACAGGCAGCACCAAGACTAGGCTACACCCAGTACAGGTAAGTCTGTTCTCTCCATGGTCTGGCTGTCACTACAGTAGAGGGCATAGGCAGCCCAAAGACCATGCTACACCCAGTACAGGTAAGTCTGTTCTCTCCATGGTCTGGCTGTCACTACAGTAGAGGGTATAGGCAGCACTAAGACCAGGCTACACCCAGTACAGGTAAGTCTGTTCTCTCCATGATCTGGCTGTCACTACAGACAGTAGAGGGTATAGGCAGCACCAAGACCAGGCTACACCCAGTACAGGTAAGTCCGTTCTCTCCATGGTCTGGCTGTCACAACAGTAGAGGGTAAAGGCAGCACCAAGACCAGGCTACACCCAGTACAGGTAAGTCTGTTCTCTCCATGGTCTGACTGTCACTACAGTAGAGGGTACAGGCAGCACCAAGACCAGACTACACCCAGTACAGGTAAGTCTGTTCTCTCCATGGTCTGGCTGTCACTACAGTAGAGGGCATAGGCAGCCCAAAGACCATGCTACACCCAGTACAGGTAAGTCTGTTCTCTCCATGGTCTGGCTGTCACTACAGTAGAGGGTATAGGCAGCACCAAGACCAGGCTACACCCAGTACAGGTAAGTCTGTTCTCTCCATGATCTGGCTGTCACTACAGACAGTAGAGGGTATAGGCAGCACCAAGACCAGGCTACACCCAGTACAGGTAAGTCTGTTCTCTCCATGGTCTGGCTGTCACAACAGTAGCGGGTAAAGGCAGCACCAAGACCAGGCTACACCCAGTACAGGTAAGTCTGTTCTCTCCATGGTCTGACTGTCACTACAGTAGAGGGTACAGGCAGCACCAAGACCAGACTACACCCGATACAGGTAAGTCTGTTCTCTCCATGGTCTGGCTGTCTCTACAGTAGAGGGTACACGCAGCACCAAGACCAGGCTACACCCAGTACAGGTAAGTCTGTTCTCTCCGTGGTCTGGCTGTCACTACAGTAGAGGGTATAGGCAGCATCAAGACCAGGCTACACCCAGTACAGGTAAGTCTGTTCTCTCCATGATCTGGCTGTCTCTACAGTAGAGGGTACACGCAGCACCAAGACCAGGCTACACCCGATACAGGTAAGTCTGTTCTCTCCATGGTCTGGCTGTCACTACAGCAGAGAGTAAAGGCAGCCAGCCACAAGACCCCAACACAATTCTTGCTGCCACCACAGAAGAGGCAGCATTTATCAATCTATACAGCCTTACCTTCTACAAATCAGTATTAGCAGGACCAATACTGAGTAACAGTTACAATCTATTCAATTCTTACAATTCTTTGTTGTTGTTGTATATTTTAAGATCAACAGATATTCTTTCAAACTCTAGGAAAGGATAGCGGAGGCTCACGGCTCCCAGTGTGGATTCTGTACTCCGGGTATGGTCATGTCCATGTACGCGCTCCTCAGGAACAACCCTCAGCCAACTGAAGATCAAATTCGAACCTTTTTAGACGGTGAGTGCCAGGATCATAATTGTGACACTCTTCTTCACCAGATTTAAGTTTAATAAAAAAACACATATTAACATGCTAATTTAAGACTTAACACACTTGCCATGATCCTCGGTTCAATGAAAGAGATATTTTAAGTTTTTGCTTGTTTCTTGAGTGGAAATTGATGGATATTTGGTTTCTTTTATATTATTGTTTTATTTTGACCGAGAAACAATTGTGAAGAGACAATGGCGTTATTCACACAAAGGTGTACGAGATAATAAGATACCCGAAAGAGCGTTGGAGTTTTCTAAATTAATGCCAATGGTTAATGATCCTATCTAGCAGTACGCACACATCCTCCAACTGCATATTGGTTCTCTTGAAGGGAATCTGTGTCGCTGCACTGGGTACAGACCAATACTGGATGGTTTCAATACCTTTTCAAAGGTGAGAACCCCTGATCTGCTGTGACATGTGGTGTACATTCGTTATTTCGAGGAAGTAATGACACGTTTTACAAACAACGGATAAACATACCCATGATCAGCATGTCAGTAGACACCACATGTTCCTTACGAGTCAACAAAACAATAGTTCATTATTCTCTACGGTTTTATGAGAGACGCGAGACAAATATAATCAAATCTTTTTGGTTTGCTTACGATTCAACAAAACAATAGTTAAGTATTCTCTTCAGTGTTACGAGAGACGCGAGACAAATATAATCAAATATCTTTGTTTTGATATACACGGTCGTTATGCTCATACATTAGAACCTAAGTGAAAATCAAGGTAAGAATTGATATTCAACAACCCATGCTTGTCGTAAGAGGCGACTAACGGGATCGAGTGGTCAGGCTCCCTGCCTTGGTTGATGTATTTGCAGTATCCCAGTTGTGTAGATTGATGTTGATGATGTTAATCTCTGAATTGTCTGGTCTAGACTCGATTATTTACAGACCGCCGTCCTATAGACGGAATATTGCCGAGTGTGGCATTAAACCATAAACAAACAAAGAAACAAAATACTAGATGGTCTGGGTGGTCAATAGCGACGGAATTCGCTGTTCAGGGATGCGTCCCTTAGGTGGACCTGAACCCGAATCTCAGATTCAACATAATTATGTGTCTAGGTTTCACCAAGTGGTAAACGGTTAAGACCTGCATTCACTTCTGGCTTCCCTCCCTCATCAACTCATTCTCTCTGTCATGCTCTATGATAATTCTTCACGTTCTGCAGGGCGTCTGTGGCAAGGGAGAAGAATGCTGTCGGAACTCAATCTACAACAACGTCGCCATTGGGGTTAGATATTCTTTTATGCATGCTCAAAGGCGATGCAAAAGTAAAAGTAAGTTACGCATTTCGAAGGATTATGTAAATGCACAGTGTAGCATGTTTCGAATATTTTCAGCCGGTGTCTGCACAATACACCACTGCCACCAAGGGAACATATCATCCGCCCTATGACCAAACGCAAGAACCTATCTTCCCACCAGAGTTAAAGGTAAACAGTTAACCGAACATCACTGTGTTCAACTGCATTCCTCCCCACAACGCGATCTTCAACTTGTGTTAATGTCCACGCTTCATCTGTAGATCTATAACAAGCCTTGGATGCCAACGGTTATCGTGACGTCAATCACGCGATCTTCAACTTTTGTTTATGTCCACGCTTCATCTGTAGATCTATAACAAGCCTTGGATGCCAACGGTTATCGTGACGTCAATCACGCGATCTTCAACTTTTGTTTATGTCCACGCTTCATCTGTAGATCTATAACAAGCCTTGGATGCCAACGGTTATCGTGACGTCAATCACGCGATCTTCAACTTTTGTTTATGTCCACGCTTCATCTGTAGATCTAAAACAAGCCTTGGATGCCAACGGTTATCGTGACGTCAATCACGCGATCTTCAACTTTTGTTTATGTCCACGCTTCATCTGTAGATCTATAACAAATCTTGGATTTCAACGGTTATCGTGACGTCAATCACGCGATCTTCAACTTTTGTTTATGTCCACGCTTCATCTGTAGATCTATAACAAGCCTTGGATGCCAACGGTTATCGTGACGTCAATCACGCGATCTTCAACTTTTGTTAATGTCCACGCTTCATCTGTAGATCTATAACAAGCCTTGGATGCCAACGGTTATCGTGACGTCAATCACGCGATCTTCAACTTTTGTTTATGTCCACGCTTCATCTGTAGATCTATAACAATCCTTGGATGCCAACGGTTATCGTGACGTCAATCACGCGATCTTCAACTTTTGTTAATGTCCACGCTTCATCTGTAGATCTATAACAAGCCTTGGATGCCAACGGTTATCGTGACGTCAATCACGCGATCTTCAACTTTTGTTAATGTCCACGCTTCATCTGTAGATCTATAACAAACCTTGGATGCCAACGGTTATCGTGACGTCAATGGGCAGATCTACATTCACATAAAACATTCATGGATAACAACTTATGTACTGTTTGTAACAGAGTTTCAGGGGTAACCCTTGCCCGTTCATATGATAAGAAATAACCATGAAAGGGCCTAACAAACGATAAAGAAGTTGTTATCCACAAAGGCTTCATGCCTACGTGTTCCTCGTTAATGGCTATCCAAGACGGGTTTTTCATAGAACGTCAAGTAAGTGTTGTCTATAAAAAAAAAACATGTTTATATCTGTTACAAGAACAATTGGAGCAAGTACCAGGAGACGCCACTTGTGTTCAAGAACGAGCGGGTCACGTGGTACAGACCAACGACCTTGACCGAGCTGCTTGACTTGAAAACCCGACATCCTGGTTCAAAGATAATCCGAGGAAACACAGAAATAGGTGAACGTCATTTGTATTTTATGTGTATTTTAAGCTTTGACCCGTGCGCGAAATTGGCTCTTCTGGAACCATTCGTAAAATTACCAACATCAGCAGCAGCAGCATCAATGTCTTCATCATCATCAACATCATCATCAACATCATCATCAGACCGCCTCCGTGGTCTAGTGGTAGTGCGTCCGCGCGGAGAGCCGAAGGTCCGGTCATACCAAAAGACGTTAAAAGATAGTACTTGTTGTAACCCTGTCTGGCGCTCGGCATTTAGGGGCTAAAACAAGGACTGGTCGGCTCGGAGTCTGTTTACTGTGACTGAGTGAGGTATACACGTTAAACTGCGGCATGGTATCTCAGTGAGCTAGCACTATAAATCGGCATCAGTTCGGACTAGTACAAGCAGCCACACACACACCTCACCTCATTATAATCATTGTATTTAAATGAAATGAAGGGTATGTGATATACGTTCCTGTTTTACTACTTCAGCTATTGAAACTCGCTTCAAAGGTCAGAGCTATCCTGTTCAGATAGATGTCACCAAGGTGCCTGAGCTCAACCAGATCACCAAGGCCCCCTCGGGCATCACGTTTGGGTCTGCAGTCACCTTGACCGATATCAAAGATACATTAGAGACTGCAGTCAAAGATATGCCAGGTGAAAACCATTCAGTATATTGTGTTCACTTGGCCTACGATTGGGGTACAAACAAACCATCAGTACTATTAACCTTACTTAACAAAGTCTCTATATACTGATTCAAATTTTACCTCGATGCGATGAAATAAGTGTCTCTGTGCTAATACACTTGTGTTCTTCTTTTTGAAAACCGCATCGCGATATTAAGGAAAACATCAGCATTAGCACTACTGTCGAATATTGCTTTCGGATGAATAATACATTTGCTTTAAGTTTGTGTTAAATAACAGAAAATTATTATGTATACATCACTAAATGTGCTTGTTGTTACCAAGATGAGCTACATGTTTTATTTCAATGCGTCTACCCCTCTATAAATTATCATAAATTATAAAACCACTTCCATAATCATAAGAACTCTCTGCTGAAAGTCCAATGTACGATTCATTGGCGGTATTCGCGGAAAGATGAACATACCCTGTTCCATCGGTGGCACGCGTTACGAACACATCCAAAGTCAAGTCAAATGTTACAAACACATGCAAAGTCAAGTCAAATCTCCTGAATATATGCATATGGTACAAGTCAAAATAAGGAATTGTATCGGACATCATTGAGGTCATTGATGCGTCAAGTGTGAATATCCTGCACATGTCTACCATGAAAGTTTTCAAACAACACGCGTATGCAAAATGTTATGTGAAAAATAATATTCTAGTATTTTTGTTCACACTTATAATCAGTGTCCTTATTCCCTAGAGGCGACAACACGTGTGTTCCGTGGTTTTCTGGACGTTATCCGATGGTTCGCCAGTACACAGATCAGGAACGTGGCTGTAAGCGACAATGCATGATCCTTGTGTTAATATTTTATTCCATGAAAAGGTTTGGGCATAAGTTACCACAAGGTAGATAACTCTCTTCTACAGATTTACATGTGTGCATTTACAATTAACATATTAAATGACAGAAAGGACAGTGGAGAAATGGATAAAGGTATTTACAATAACAGTGATCTCTCAAACCGTTTTGTTATCTGTATACTTGTATATGCATCTACACTCATACCGCCTACGACCGCCTCCGTGGTCTAGTGGTAGAGCGTCTGCCCAGAGAGCGGAAGGTCCGGGGTTCGATCCTAGGACACGTCATAGCAAAGGATGGTACTTGATGTCTGCCGCTCGGCATTAAGAGGCTAATACTACATATCTAATAATAAGTCCGTTTGTGGAAAAGCGCTGTGGGGTTTGTGTGGTTGCCTTGTAGTGAAAACATTGGATCGGCCCCACACAGAATGTGCCACGTCCATTTCTACTGTACCAATGCTTGTCTGGCTGGAATATTACTAAAGCGGGATAAAACTGTCTTTAATTACTCATGACCTATGGGTATTAGACACAGAGCATGATCATAAAAGAATGAGTAACACCTGAAGCAACAAAGCAATTTCCAGAAATTTCACGAACACTGGTTTTGAAAACCAACCCAGAAAATAGAAAAATCGGTTTGTCACTGTTTGTACGCAGAAATATTATTCCTGTTTCATTTGAAGTCTATCGCTGGTAACATCATGACGGCCAGTCCAGTGTCAGATCTCAATCCTCTCCTCATGGCTGCAGGTGCCACCGTCCAGGTTACCAGGAAAGGTAAATAAAAGAGACAAAATCCTTTCCATGATCATGGTATATGATAAGCATGTGTCCATGAATATTGTTGTTGACAGGTGTTCCCGAAATAGTGAGCGTATCCTCCCTCGACGGTGACACCAGTCACAAACACTTGCAAAGGCAAGGAAAGTTTCCACATGAATAAAGACGAGAACATATTATACACGCATATATGGTTTCGGTTCCGGTTCTCATCATTGGGTTATGTTTAAATGCCTTGTAAAATCATTTAATATCATTCAAACTAAATATACATTTATGTAGTGCCATTTTGCAGTTAGAAACTTCCCAAAAGCGCATGTGTTTCTGGTCGGAAATCTAGTTTTTATGCATTTTGCTGAAGATGTGAAGTGTCTGCAATGTCTTATACTAGGTGGTGCTGTGCGCGGGATGAAGGTTGACAGTAACTTCTTCACCAAGTACCGAACCACGTGTCTCGCACCAGAGGACGTCCTCCTGTCTGTAGAAATCCCTGCGTCAAACAAGGCGAGCGCTTCTAACAATTATTAATACCAACGCTGGACTACGTCAAATTGCAATCACAGACTAACAAGTGTAGCTCATCGGTTGTTACCATGGAGATGTTTGACTATCTCATGCATATTGTCTTCTTGCCACTGTTTCAAAATACATCATAGTCCCTTCGTAGTCTTCTTCGTTTATACGGGGCTTTCGGGTAGCCTTGTGGGCAAAGCGTTCGTTTGTCACGCCGAAGACCCGGGTTCGATTCCCGACATGGGTACAATGTGTGAAACGCATTTCTGGTGTCCCCCGCCGTGATATTGCTGGAATATTGCTAAAAGCGGTGTAAAACCATACTTACTCACTCTTCGTGTAATATCAAGAATTTGGGTTTAAAGATATCATGAGGAATTACTGTCTTTGTATAGATCCTCGTTACTGCCCATTGTTTAGATTGTTATTCATAATATTTTAAATCATGTTGTGTCAAATAACATGTCATTTCTTCTTATATCATCATTTTGTAACGTGACATAATATTTCAGAACGAATTTTTCCAAAGTTTCAAACAAGGGCCACGAAAGGAAGACAGCATCTCCATAGTGAACGCTGGTATGAGGGTTCTGTTTGAGAAAGACTCGGATATAATCAAAGAAATACACCTAGCCTATGGCGGTATGGCACCAACAACCGTCATGGCGACCAGAACTATGACCTCTTTGGTTGGAAGGTAAAACTTGTACTTATCTGTCACTTGTCTCATACTTGTCTCCTACATGTTCATAAATGCTACTGTTATCAATCCAAATAAAAGACAATTATAGTCCGCTTAATAACACACAGTTCATATATACGTGAATATTGTTCCAGTCGTTGGCAGAACGATCTGGTAACCAAGGCAACCTCCCTGCTGGCTGAGGAACTGCAGCTGGAACCGGGGGTTCCTGGAGGGATGTGTGAATACAGACAATCACTTACAACCAGCTTCTTCTTTAAGTTCTACCTGTCTGTACAACTTGCTTTGTGTCATCAGGTAGGCCAATGCTTCAAGTGTGTGCATATTTAGTGCTCGTATTGTCTTTATGATGTATTCGTTCAATTGGAAAACTGTACGTCACACATCTATTCACATCACATCATCAGGGCGGACGGGTAGCCTAGTGGTTAAAGCGTTCGCTCGTCACGCCAAAGACCCAGGTTCGATTCCCGACATGGGTACAATGTGTGAAGCCCATTTCTGGTGTCGACCGCCGTGATATTGCTGGAATATTGCTAAAAGCGGTGTAAAACCATACTCACTCACTCACTCACTATTCATCATCAACTTATTCTACGATACATTTGTAGTGTTCCTTCCCCTGTCCGCCTCATACCAAAACATGTAAAAGAAATGGTACTTGTTGTTACCCTGTCTGGCCCGCGGGACTTAGTGGGATAAAACAAGGACTGGTCGGCTCGGAGTCATTGTATCAGTCACTTAATATCGGTATTAGTCCAGACTAGTACAAGCAGCCACACACACTATATATGTACAAAAGTCTTTGACGCGACGTTAAACTCCTTGTCACATCACCTCACCTACACAAATGTATCTTTATAGATCGGAGTGTCAAAGACAAAGGTTCCGATGTCTTACCGAAGTGCTGTGCCTGACATCAACTGCCCACATCCAACCACCAGTCACGTGTATGATGACGTCAGTTCCGGTCAGCCACCAGACGACACTGCGGGGAGGTCACTGCTCCATGAGTCTGGACTGCAACACGCTACAGGCGAGGCTGTGTATCTGGACGACATGGCAGCCAGAGAAGGTGAGATTCTCTAAGCGGGTGACATGACACGAAGTGAAGGTGAATTTTTTCTAGGTGTTTTCTTCACCTGGAAGCTAATTATCAGCTTTGCTATGTGCAGAAAAGAAAACTTTGTTTGAAACCCAAGAAAATGGTGAACTCCTATAGGTGGACGACTTGGCGTGCATGAACATTGGCAGGGCGTATGAGAACGAAATATGGTTGATGGGAGAGGTTGCATGAGAGAGTGAAATTGTCAAGGTCGGCGTCATGACGAAGTTTCTTGAATGACGACATTTTACAGTTAAAAACATTGAACAAATCTGCAAACTTCAAGACTAAAAATACATAAAAATGATTGCTCCTTTATAAATTCATTGATCGATTATCTTAATCCTAATTTGCATGTCATATGGCGTTACTAAACTGGAACGCTTAGCTCTCCAATAAAGGGTGGCAATGTGGTCACATTTTCATGATGATATCAATGGACATATATTTGTAGGAAAATTGTTCATGGCCTAGGAGCTGAGTGAGAGACCAAATGTATACCTGAACACAATTGTTCAAATGGTGGAATGTGGCCCTATTTTCTATGCTGACATTACTAGTGTATATTGCAGGAGAATTATTTATGGCACTGGTGCTGAGTGAGAGACCACACGCTCGCCTTGTCAGTGTTGACGCTACGGAGGCGCTCACTCTGTCTGGGGTGGTGGACTTCATCACGCACAAAGACATCCCAGGAGAGACAACCTGGGGACAGCCGGAATCCGAAGAGGAGGTGTTTGCTTCGGACAAGGTGCAACATTACTTTCAATTTAAATTTCCAACCTAAAGGCCTAAAGCAAATAAGGCAAACGTATGTGTAGATCCGTGACACTATAACATGCACACAACGCCGATATATACCAGAGTTTTCACACATCACGTCTTTTTTTCAACAAAACTTGTTCTTGTTTCTGTATTGTAACAGTATCATGAACATTATCAGGTGCTGTGTCGGGGCCAAACAATCGGCGCCATTGTTGCAGAGAGTAGACGGGTCGCAGAACATGCTGCTACCAAGGTCAAGGTCATTTATGAAGATCTGAAACCAATTTTTACGATACAGGTGTGTAGGCTTGTAATATCATAAATTAAATTGCTCTGCAATTACAGAATGTATAAAAGTCGAGAAACAGATTATGTTTGTTACGTATAGAGAGTAATATATTAAAAAAGAAACACATAGTTGAAACATACACAAGGTGTATTCTCGGTTGCCGAAGCGTTGTCTGTTAGCAACTGTTTAACTGCCAAGTCATGCCAACTGAAGCAAAACGAAAAATTTAAACAACGTCGTCAGGCGGTTGGAAGCAGAACGGCCGCTGTCGGTCCAGAGCTCCATCTCAGTACCAACGACATGGTAAGTCACGTGACCCACAATGGCCGCCCTTTGACTGTATGTCATTGGCGACAAAAGTGTCATCCTCAACAACAGCAGCAATTTCATGCAGGATATCTGACAATTAAAACCCGCCTTTGCGAGACAGACGGCCTATTAGAGCTCTTGTTTTGACGGAACAACATTGTCAACTGCGACGTCTGCGCGCAGGATATGGCCTTACCAGAGATGGAGAACGTTTGGTTCGGGGACTAGTGAGAATTTATGCTGTATCGTGCTAAAGGGAGAGAACCAAGGTGTACTGTCGTCGCCATAAACGTTTCGCCGCCAACAGGTTGAGTGGGTTGTAAAGTAACTTTTTGAGCGGCAATTTCCCAGAATGGTTAGAACAAACCTGATGTATGTTCAAGTTCAAGCCCAGTGCTACTGTGAAAAATTCTTACAGCCGAATGGTTTCGTCATCTTTCAACACGACAGTGCTAGAGCGTACACAACACGTGTAACAACAGCATGCGCACGGAACCACGATGTAATGTCCTCCCATGGCCCTCTAAATCCCCAGATGTGAACTCCTATGACACGATTTGGGTCTCCGCGTACGATAGCGTCATCCGGAATCACAACCACTGCAACAGCTTGTAGACTCACCTCAGAGCGAGTGGGCTAACATTCCCAAACGTGCGATCTCTCATTTCGTCCATTGGCAGGATATGCAATACTGCGCTAATGGTGCCACACGATATATGAAATTCTCTGGATCTCGACTTCTGTTATTTTCCCTCTAACGTTGTCATATTGGACACGTGTACACTTTGATCCTGTTTGCAATATGTCATCACTCAGTGTTAAGATTTGTTTGTTTGTTTGTTTGTTGTTTGACGCCGCACTACGCAACATTCCAGCTATATGGTGGCGGTCTGTAAATAATCAAGTCTGGGCCAGACAGTCCAGTAATTGACACCATGAGCATCGATCCATGCACTTGGGATACGATGGTATGCATCAACCTAGTCAGCGAGCCTGACCACCCGATCCCGTTAGTCGACAAGCATAATCGCCTATTACTGCAATCATGGGTTGCTGAAGACATATTCTACCCGGATCTTCACGGCTCCAGTGTAAGATGTGCAAATGCGTGTTACTTCCCACACCAAAATTCTGGTTTATGCGAATCTAGTTATATTTCCATGAAACAGGAAGCCATCGAAAACGTCTCCTTCCACGGAGAACCCCAGACTCTGACCAGTGGCGACACCGAGTCTGCCTTCAACACCTGCGACCACGTGCTGGAGGGGGAGGCTCGGACCGGGGCCCAGGAACACTTCTACCTGGAGACAATGGGCAGCCTGGTCATCCCGGGGGCGGAGGATGGGAAGATGGAGGTCTATACCGGCACACAGAATCCAACATTGACACAGGTGAGGTGAAATGGGGTTTAACGTCGCGTCCAAGATATAGCGACGTGCATGCACGTGTGTGGGTGGCTGCTTGTACTAGTCCGGACTTATGCCGATTCATAGTGCTAGTCCACTAAGATACCATGCTGCAGTTTAACATGAATACCTCACTCAGACACAGTATACTGACTCCGAGCCGACCTATCCTTGTTTTAACCCCTTAATGCCGAGCGCCAGACAGGGTGACAACAAGTACTATCTTTAACGTCTTTTGGTATGACGCGGCCGGGGATCGAACCCCGGACCTTCCGCTCACCTGGCGGACGCTATACCATTAGAAGGAGGTCCATTTACACAATGCAATGATATTTCTTCTTGAAGCAAAGACTGACTTTAAGCTAAACTGCAATAAAATGGTTCCAGAAACATGTTCGCAGTTTCTTAGCATTACACAATTAACACAAACGTGTTTCATCTAAGATTTATTTTTTTCCAAGGACTCAATCTGCAGGACCTTGGCGCTCACCTCAAACAAAGTTGTCGTCAAGGTCAAGCGAACGGGTAAGTCAGGCGTATTAGCTACACGGTACGTTAGCGCTTTAATATGAATGAACTATTCAGCAACAAAGAGAAAACATGAGCCTCATTTATGCCAATCATCATATAAACTATAAAAAGCAGTGTTCATTTTAATGACGTTCCTCGGAAACACCTTCAGGTGGCGCGTTTGGCGGCAAACAGTCCCGAAACCTGCTCAGTGCCCTCCCAGCAGCAGTGGCTGCACACAAGTAAGTCAGGGACACCAAATGTGTGTGTTGTCGTTAACTCCACATTCTGATTGGGTGAGTGAGTGATTGAGTTGGGTTTAACGCCGCTTTTAACAGTACTCCAGTTATATCGCGGCGTGTCAGCTTAATGTGGGAGGAAAGCCCGAAGTGATGCAGGTCTCAGACGTTTACCACTTCGGTGAAACCCACGAACACGGGTATGGTGCTGACAAACCTAGAAACATAATCAGGGCGAACCGGGATTCGAACCCACAATCATAGGTTTCTGGCGTGCCCAAGAGACGCAACTCTGCACAGCGAATCGCGGCGCCTTAGACGACTGGGCCACCCGTGCCCCCTGATTCTGATTGGTCGTTTAATACACATGTATTATTCTTAAAGCACAAAGTGTGCAGGACAACGGTCATCGTGATGTGAGTGAGTGAGTGAGTGAGTATGGTTTTACGCCACTTTTAGCAATATTCCAGTAACATCAGGGGGGAGGGGGCAGGAAATGGGCTTCACACGTTGTACCCATGTCGGGAATCGAACCCGGGTTTAACCACTCAGCCACCAACCGCCCCTCATCTTGCTGTAAAGAAGAAAATAATGCAACGCTTCAGACCGGGTACTATTATATAGTTTGTTGTGAATTGAGCTCCCTGGTTGCTCTGGTGACATATTATAGTTATGATTTGTTTGTCTGTTGTTTAACTCCGCCCTCAGCAATATTCAAGCTATGTGACGGCGATCTGTAAATAATCGAGTCTGGACCAGACAATCAAGTGATCGACACCATGAGCATCGATCCACGCAATTAGGATCGATGACATGCATCAAGCAAATCAGCGAGCCTGACCACCCGATCTCGTTAGTCGCCTCTTACGACAAGCATAATCGCCTTTTACGACAAGCATAGCCGCTTCTTACGACAAGCATAGTCGCCTTTTACGGCAAGAATTGGTTGCTGAAGACCTATTCTACCCCGGATCTAATATTTATGAATGTAGGTTAGACGTTGCACGGCATGTGTATGCACAGCTTCAGTACTCTATTCATGGCCTCTTCTTGCAATGTTAGTCACTGTTCTAATATCAATACTGTGAGGAATCTCTTCAGTGCTGCAGATACTATGTTGATCTTCACGTATGGTGTTTGTCCTCACAGACTAGGGAGGCCAGTGCGATGTGTTCTAGGCAGACAGCTGGACATGGCCACTACTGGGACTCGGAACCCGACCTGGGCACATTACAAGGTATGCGTCGTTTGTACCATGACATCAGTGTCCGCTCATGGACAAGTTGTGTTTAAAGTTTTCAGAGGATGTTCATGAGACCCTTCTTCAAAATCTAAATGAATATCATTTCTGGTCTTCGCCGCCGTGATATTGCTGGAATATTGCTAAAAGCGGCGTTAAACCAAACTCACTCACTCACTATTAAATGAATATATTCTTAAGACAGTTTTGAGTTAATATTTCAAGTATTTGTTGGAACAAATGAATCTAAATGAACATCATTTCTTGTGCTCCCGGTCGTGATATTGCTGGAATATTGCTGAAAGCGGCGTAAAAGCAAACTCACTCACTCACTCAGAAAATGAATATGTTCTTAAGACAGTTTTGAGTTTATATTTCAAGGTTGTTTTGGAAGAAATGATTATATACTTGATACACAACCCTCTTGAAAAACATCCTTATTTGAACTGTCGCCTTACAATAACATCTTGATATTTATATTAAAATTGTTAATATGTAAATATATAATATAATATCTCATAGTTTGAATATGTGATGATAGGTTTTCGCGAAAAGGTGAGCGTATCCTGCCCCACCGGTGGCAACAGTAATAAACGCACGCAAAGGCAAGTCAATTGTTCACCTGAAACAAACATGAGAACATATGGTACAAGACAAAATAGGGAATAGCATCGGACATCATTTTTGTCTTTAACCATTTTAGGTCGGCTTCAACAAGGACGGCAAAATCATCGCCTACACTGTTAACGTCTACGCTAACGGTGGGATGTCTGTCAGCCAATCACGGGCGGTGTGTATTGAATTAGTATTCTTATTTCAGACAGAAATATCTCAAGACAAATAAAAGACATTATCTCAGTACATTAAATCAGGTTTTACGAATAAAGTTCAACATTATTGTCAGGGATTCAACTTTATTGAAAGGTGTCGATGTTTCTGATGGATGAAGCATACGCAGGCCACACGTTAGACCCAGGTTTGATTGACTACAATAAGTGAAGCCCAGTTTTGGTTACACACGCAATCAAAGCATTAAGTTGAACAATAATGCAAATGTGCTCAAAGATCCGAAGGAATCGGTCCAGTAGATAGGGATCATCTAGTTGTATGAATACTGCTTATCATTTGTTTGTTTGTTTGTTGTTTAACGCCGAACTCAGCAATATTCCAGCTATATGATGGCGTAAATAATCAAGTCTGGACCAGACAATCCAGTGACTGACATCATGAGCATCGATCCACGCTATTCGGATACGATGACATGCATTAACCAAGTCAGCGAGCCTGACCACCCGATCCCGTTAGTCGCCTCTTACGACAAGCATAGTCGCCTTTTACGGCATCAATGGCTTGCTGAAGACCTGCAGACCCATGTGCCAAAACAAGAGGCTCACCATCATCAGTAAAGATAACGAGAGCCTACAAGTACTAGTTCAAGAGCCAACAGGTACTAGTTCAAGAGCCTACAAGTACTAGTTCAAGAGCCAACAGGTACTTGTTCAAGAGCCAACAGAAACTAGTTCAAGATCCTACAGGCACTAGGTCAAGAGCCTACAGGTACTAGTTCAAGAGCCTACAGGTACTAGGTCAAGAGTCTACAGGTACTAGTTCAAGAGCCCGCAGGTACTAGTTCAAGAGCCCGCAGGTACTAGTTCAAGAGCCCGCAGGTACTAGTTCAAGAGCCCGCAGGTACTAGTTCAAGGTACTAGTTCAAGAGCCCGCAGGTACTAGTTCAAGAGCCCGCAGGTACTAGTTCAAGCCTGTACAGTGGACAATGTACAGCACGTACAAGGAATACTGTTTGATGGCCCTGTGTCACTAAATGTTTTACAAATACTTGAGCTCACTGTAGTCGCTTGTTCTTCAATATGTTGCCTTATTTAAGCAGCTAATACCCAACAAACATATAACTGACAATCAGAAATAAATTATTTAATTTGGTTTTCTTTTTTCCTTTGTACCGCAGGTTGTAAGTAAAATAATTTTCCAAATCGACGGAATGTACAACATCCCAAATATGATCTGCATAGGTCACTCATGCAAGACCAATCTACCCTCAACTACAGCATTCCGGGGGTTCGGGGTACCCCAGGCCACCCTGATCACCGAACAGATGATACAACATGTCGCTGACATCCTACAGATGGCCCCCGAACAGGTGCTTGTCAGTTCTTACCGTTGATTCCTGCTGAGAGAAATCTCTAAATATGGCATTACATTTGTTATTGTTTGGTTAACCGAAATATTTCCAACGATAAAACATTATTACAAGTCAAATTTTAGGTTTATAATAGCCAATATGTGTATTTGTTTACATACCTACGGATCATTTTATCTATTAAACCAATTGTTTGAACAGGATTTTAAATTAGAGTTAAAGTGTTTGATAACTTAAGACAAACTTCAGCCTTAGAAATTCGCACTGGTTCTATAGTCCTTGCCAAACTGCACATTAGTTAAGGTATCATAAGGAGTAGTAGAAATTTGCCATTTTTAAGAGTTTTTCTATATGTTATCATTATAAGGACTAGTGGACTAACTGTTAGTTTCTATCGCTGAACTTATATTAAAACCAAGTTCTATTTCCATTCCAACTATCACAAATTCAGCCTCCTTTTATCATCGCAAGATCCTAACACTGTAGTTAATTTAGCTAAATACATTATAATGCTCATGTTGAAGGAACGGGTTATCGAATATTTAACAGTCTGTCTCTATTATTATATGCTGTACACAAAGGCCGGTGACCAATACGTATTCAATTAAACACATTGAATTAAAGTAAACCATTTTATTGTGATGTTGGTCACAATAATCACAACACCCAGAAATCAGAAAGTCTATGTTTATTATAATTAACTCTTTACGCAGGAAAGAGGTTAGTCCTGCACCATGACTGTGAAATATATTTATTTTAGGAAAAAAGAAATCTAGAAACGCATACAAAAGCAAGTCTAGCCAGCTCTAGCTAGCTATATGAAATCAGCATAGGGATTTTTTTTTATTTTTAGAGTCAAGAAGGATATTGTGTAATATAAGATTTCAGAGACTAAATGTTAGTCTAGAAAGAGGTGTATAGTATCTTAACGTTGCAGTTTACAAGCTCTAGTACCAGTGAAGACAGTGTTGAGTCACATGCCGGTAACTATGAGCATTAGTGGTGTATTTGATATCAAATTATAATGTTACAATCTTACACTTATCGAAATGGATATAACTTATTCTGTACTGAGTGTTAGCTTACTGAATGAGACCTTTGTGTAAATGTATTCATTCTTCCGGCTTCCAGATTCGCGTTCTCAATATGTACAACGTTGGTGATGTCACACATTTTAAGCAAGAGCTTTCCTCCTGTAGTGGTCGAAGTTGTTGGGATGAATGCTTGACCAATTCACAATTTGAAAAGCGCCGCCGGGAGGTGGATGTCTTCAACAGGTAACCATAGCAACAAAAACAAGACGAATCTTTCTCATGGACAGACATCTGTACAATTGATTGACAATTTATTTATTTATTTTGTTAAATATAATGTTATATATAGTGAACCACTTACGCACGTTTTTTTTAGTGTTGCTGTTTGGAAGAAATCTAAACTTCCTCAATTTCATTTCAGAATACATTAGCATAGGTTTGTCTTCATAATTTCTCTCTCAACTATTTCAGCTTGATTATGGGTCAGTGTCATCAGGAGTTAGGTGAAAGAATTACTTGACCAATCCGAATTCCAATTTTCAAAAAGATTTCAGTAACACTTTTACTTGACCTTATCCACACAGCGTGTGATTTATTTGTATTATTGTGTAGTGCTCAACGTGGTTTGGAGACAAGCCGCTGCTCCTTCTAAAATAACAGTAGTGTTATAGTAGTGTCAGCAAATTGCGGAAGCATTTGTTCTAATTTTCTGCTGATGTTCCTTTGATTGTTCTGTTTTTTCTCATCATTTCTCATAATATTTCAGCTCATAATAAATCCATATCGCGAGAGTGGACCACCTTGTATACAGTCTCTTGTAATATAGAAAATAAAATCAAGTATTAATACAATTAACCAAAACTTTGAACTAGATATTTTTTTTCAGATATAGGTAACCAGTTTTTAACATTTTCACAGAGGGGCAGAAATTTAGCAAGTTTAGGACTTGAGTAGAAAGATATCAAATCACACACTGTCCATAGTCAGTTACAGGTGCAAATACAATGCAATGTGGGTGTATTTGAATTGTATTGTTCCATTTGCATTTAGTGAGAACCGATGGAAGAAAAGAGGTCTTTCAATGATACCTGCGAAATTCAGTGCTTGCTTTGCTGCAACTGCTAAACAGTTAAACCAGGTATGTGACGTTTTAATGCATGTTTTTTTATGTATCTCCTGGATAATAGTGAAATAATAATACGTTTATCTTTGGTTCCCCAAAAGTGCCACAGTGAAAAGTGGCTGAGCATCGATCAACGCCATTGGGACCGATGACATGCATCAACCAAGTCAGCGAGCCTGAGCATTCGATCCCGTCTGTCGCCTCTTACGACAAGCACAGTCGCCTTTTACGGCAAGCATGAAGACTTATTCCTCCCCGGATCTTCAAGGTTCAGTATAATATAAGTATCCCTTGCTGTACTAGTTATTGTCGACCCGTGAAGATCTGGGGTAGAATAGGTCTTCAGCAATCCAGGCTTGCTCATGATGTCAATCACTGGATTGTCTGGTCTAGACTGGATTATTTACAGGCCACCGTCATATAGCTTGAATATTTCTGAGTGCGGCGTTAAACAACAAATAAACAAACAAACTAATTATTGCCACATGAACCATGACGTATTGATCAGCACACAAAGATGACAACATATGTACGAGAAACGACGCCTTAACTAGTGGCTTCTTCCACATCAAGTGAAGAAATATTCCTTGTTCAAGTAATTTAAAATCTCAATTTCGTGTCCCTCTTCAACTAAATTGATTTAACACAAATTCAAGTATACACTCTTCAAAAAATGAAACGCACAGGCAGCTTTTTAGTAAATTTATTGTACCTAATAAAGTCGATATATTCAATTTAATACCATAGATACAAATATGAAATTTTGGAGCTCGATAGTCACATGATGTTGTACAAAGGCATTGAAAACTGTATATGGACATGTCACATAAGGCCACAAGGTTGCGCTGAACTCAGTATCTCGTGTGACCACCCCGGGCAGCAATCACGGCTCTGCATCTCCTCGGCACTGACTGGATAAGTGTACGAATTCTGCCCTGCGGAATTCTGCGCCATTCTGTTTGAAAAACGTTGGCCAGTTTAGGGAGTGTCTGCGGCGTGTTCTGACGTTGACGTACATGTCGATCGAGTTCATCCCAGAGGTGTTCGATTGGTTTGAGATCTGGAGATCTCGACGGCAAGGGCAAGCCGTTGTTGGCGGCATTATGAAGGTAGTCTGCCGTGACACGAGCTGTGTGCGGTTGAGCGTTGTCCTGTTGAAACACTCTCTCCGGCGGTCAATGATTGGAAGAAGGTAAGGTTGAAGAATTTGATTCATGTAGCGATTTGCTGTCAAATTTCCGTGAACCACAACCATGTCAGATCTATCTCGTGGTGTAGGATATGACACCCTGTTTTCCTCCATGACAAGTGTGGAAACAATGCCGTTAAGACATTGCAAATCGACAATGGCTGCGTTTTGACGCACCGTTTGACGAATATCAGGCCAGCAACATTTTCCAATAACATACATCCAATTTATATACCGGATTTGTTGTGTAGTCAAGTTCAATGAACTACATACTACCTGTGCGTTATTGTTTGAAGAGTGTGTGTACTTTAATGTCTCATGTTGATATTAAAGGGTGCTTTCAAAATATGAAGACTTATTACATGATTGTGTATATGTTGCCACATGTTCGCCTGTAGGCCAGTGCCCTTGTTCACATCTACCTGGACGGCTCTGTCCTCATCGCACACGGAGGAGTAGAGATGGGACAGGGCATCCACACCAAGATGATACAGGTTGGTGTCCACTTTCAGATTATCCATCCTCTGTATCTCAAGGGCTCGCATTCCGGTAAACCTACACTAACCCCTAGATCCAGTCACGTGATTCTCGCGAATTACCGCCCTTGATTTTCATAAACATTTTACCGACCAATCAAACGTCGAGATAAGAAAACTGGAAATGGGTAAGGGAGGTAACTCGTATTGCCTAGAGACACCTAAACTCTGTCGCGATCAATAAGTCTGGCCGCCATGTTGTTCATATCTCCAACCCAACATTGAGGCTGGCATTCTGATCGGCGTAGTCGCGTGGCAAATGAAATTGGCTAATAACAATCAAGGACGGGTAATTTGTGATCGCGAGAATCACTTGAATGGATGCAAGGCGTGGTGTAGGTGCGAGCTCTGGAAATATAGAGGATACACATCAGAAATGTTCGATTTTTTAGTGAAGCTGAGAACTATACTCACAATATTAGGAAAGTGAGTGAGTATCGTTTTACAATATTCCAGCAATATCACGGCGGGGGACACCAGAAATAGGCTTCTAACATTGTACCCATGTCGGGAATCGAACCCGGGTCTTCGGCGTGACAAGCGAACCCTTTAACCACTAGACTACCTGACCGCCCCACTCAGTAAAGGGAAATATAATGACTTTAGCTTCAGATGGTGAGATATTAACATCTGCAATGAGACTATATCTTCTTTTTTTCCATTCTTCGAAATCAATGTCTGTTCCTGGCAGTGTCACTTGAGGAAGGCCGAACTTGAATAAAAGGTTCGGGTCAAACCTGACACTAACTCAACGCAATCTCATTAGAATAAGATCTAAGTTCTCGCTGCCGCAAAACAAAGATCTGAGGATATCACATTACGGGTCACGTCAGAACGACTTTTCGCGAACTTTGACCGACCACTGAAATCACTAACTAGAAGTCGACATCAGCCAATTAGAAAGCAGCTTTCTCGAGCTATACGCACCCGTTTCAACCTGGCGAATTCCATTTCAGACTACGCTTGAAAAATATGTTGACACAGTTCTCGATGAAAATTTTGAAAACTGAACAAACGAACATTCCGGAATGTCTAATATAGATTGAAAAGCAGTGCTTCCCACGCACTGTGCAACTCCTCCTCCGTTCAAACGTTTATCCCATGGGAGTGAGAGATAATTTTGACGGAATCAGTCGTACGGGCCGTAACTGTCGTTCGGAATACCCCCTGTTAACGTTTTCGAGGTTACATGATGAGAAAACACATTCCGACTGTCACTTTCATCATCTGGTAAGCACCGCTTTGATTGGTTGGATGAAAGGTCGTTCTGACGTGACCCGTAATGGGATGTTCTCAGATCTTTGTTAAGCGATAGAGAGAACTAAGATGATCTGATTTTAATGAGATTGGCCCAAACGAGGATTGACGGTGTAGTTCTGTCGCAGATCGCCAGTCGAGAGTTGCGTATATCCCCTTCCTTCATCCACGTTGAAGCCTGCAGCACAGACAAGATCAACAATGCCTCGTTAAGTGCTGGCTCAGCCACTGCAGACATCAATGGAGTCGCTGTGCAGGTATGTGACCAGGTCCTTGCACTGTCTTACTTGATATTTGGAATGAAATACATCGAAATCCACGTCCCGAATCTTAGTATATGAACGTTTACATGATGAAAATAAGGCCATGTAGGTTTTCATGATGAAAATAAGGACCTGTAGGTTTTCATGATGAAGATGGGGACCTTTACGTGTTCATGACGAAAATAGGGACCTGTACGCGTTCATGACGAAGATAGGGACTTGTACGTGTTCATGACGAAAATAGGGACCTGTACGTGTTCATGACGAATATAGGGACCTGTACGTGTTCATGACGAATATAGGGACCTGTACGTGTCCATGACGAATATAGGGACCTGTACGTGTCTATGACGAATATAGGGACCTGTACGTGTCCATGACGAATATAGGGACCTGTCCGTGTTATGGCGAATATAGGGACCTGTACGTGTTCATGACGAATATAGGGACCTGTACGTGTCCATGACGAAGATAGGGACCTGTACGTGTCTATGACGAATATAGGGACCTGTACGTGTCCATGACGAATATAGGGACCTGTCCGTGTTCATGGCGAATATAGGGACCTGTACGTGTTCATGACGAATATAGGGACCTGTACGTGTCCATGACGAATATAGGGACCTGTACGTGTCTATGACGAATATAGGGACCTGTACGTGTCCATGACGAATATAGGGACCTGTCCGTGTTCATGACGAATATAGAGACCTGTACGTGTCCATGACGAATATAGGGACCTGTACGTGTCCATGACAAATATAGGGACCTGTACGTGTTCATGACGAATATAGGGACCTGTACGTGTTAATGACGAAGATAGGGACCTGTCCGTGTTCATGACGAATATAGAAACCTGTCCGTGCTCATGACGAATATAGGACCTGTACGTGTTCATGACGAATATAGGGACATATACGTGTCCATGACGAATATAGGGACCTGTACGTGTCCATGACGAATATAGGGACCTGTACGTGTTCATGACGAATATAGGGACCTGTGCGTGTCCATGACGAATATAGGGACCTGTACGTGTCCATGACGAATATAGGGACCTGCACGTGTTCATGGCGAATATAGGGACCTGTGCGTGTCCATGACGAATATGGGACCTGTATGTGTTCATGGCGAAGATAAGAGCATGTTTGTTTCAAGATGATGTTTCTGTGATTATGAACAGTGTATTTATATGTTTCCTAGGATGCTTGTCACCTACTCTTCAACCGCCTTAAGCCTTACATGAAACCCAAGGGAACATGGAAGGATTGGGTATGTCACCCTGACATTGTGAATAATTCAGAGTAAACTGAATGTCTTAGAAAGTGGGGGCAATTTCCTGTGAATATAAAAAACTGTCGACACATCATCCAACATTAAAACTATGTTTCTGTTTCGTCGAATAAAATACTGTTCATTGGAAATATTCAGAAACAAAAACGGTTTTTTCTCTGGAAGTAATTAAACATATCGCTTATTCTTATAGTTCCACGGGATGGCCCTGGACATAAACGCTTCAGGGCCCTGTACCTATTGGTCGTTCTCATCGTCTATATTTCTCCTGTCTCTAATGTGATCTCTTTACTACCAGGTTAATGCCGCCTACATGGACCGAGTCCAACTGATGGCGACAGGATTTTTCAAGTAACACATGCTTTATCTTTATTGAGTTGCATATCCCTGAATACTTTTACAGTGAAAGGCTGTAGACGTGTTATCCAATTCATTTCAAAACAATCCTTTAAATTTCCCTCAAGTTAACATCCTATTGCCTAATTCCTTCTTGTAAGTATAACTATTATGCGAATGAAACCTTCAGCTGTGAGTTAAGGGCCCTCTTGCACAAAGCGGTCGCTAAAGGGGCATTCACACGGTACAACTAGTTGTATACAATTTGTTGCATGCAACTAGTTGCACGAACTGAAGTTGTATACAACTCGGCATTCACACGGCGGCGAGTTGCATACAACTCGGATCTCGCGAGATCTCAATTTTTAAGACGATGTTTACATTACGTCATGGCGTCTGCGTATGGCTATGATAGCGATGACGATATACTTGTTGCATGCGTCAAAAGTTGGACCGACTTGCCCGTTCACACGATGCAATGTGTTGCATGCAACAAATTGTATACAACTAGTTGTACCGTGTGAATGCCCCTTAAGTCTATGTTAAAGAATGGGAGTTGCAATGGTGCGCAAGCCGACCCAGATAGAGATCAGCAACGCAAATGTTCTCATTTGGTTTTTGTTTGTGCCTCAAAAAATGAATTTCGACATACAGTAAAGTACGGTTATAACGAACTCAAAGGGACTACTAATTTTAGTTCGTTATAACCGTAGTTCGTTATAAGCATATATACAGCATAACTACAGCAACTAGTCGGGACCAAAAAGTAAGTTCGTTATATCCGTAAGTTCGTTATAAGCGTGTTCGTTATAACCGTAGTTTACTGTAGTAAAAAGCCATGATATTGAAACCAAGACATCTGTGTAAGTTACGACATACATTATGATGAAGGATGGATGGTCTCCACTACAACGCCACTAGCTCCAACAACGTCATGTACAACTACTTCGTGTACGGCGCCGCCTGCTCGGAGGTCGAGATTGACTGTTTGACCGGCGAGCATCACATGATCAGGTCTGACCTTGTTGTGGATGCCGGTGAGAGTCTGAACCCCACAGTGGACATCGGTCAGATTGAGGGTGCATTTATTCAGGTTGGTACCTGATTTGTATATTATGTAATACCTTAGGTGTGATGTCGGTGACACTCGGAAAAAAGATGTATGCGTGAATGTCTGGAGCACCATAGCACCGTTAAAATCTGGCTTTCTTCGGCATTCTCGATTATATAGTGTACTGTGTATAAGTACCCTTGACTGATTAGATTGTCATAGCTTCGTTTGAAAGTGATGTCAACTTCTAAATCTTTCTAGTGACTTAATTAGCGTAAAATTACACTAGCTACCAAGTTATGCTTGTTTGTTTGCTGTTATACGCCGCACTCAGCAATATTACATCAATATGACGGCGGTCTATAAGTAATCGAGATCTGGACCAGACAATCCAGTGATTGACATCATGAGCATCGATCCACGCCATTGGGATACGATGACATGCATCAACCAGGTCAGCGAGCCTGACCACCCGACCCCGTTAGTCGCCTCTTATGACTGACTGACTGACTGACTGATATAGAAGATTTAACGTGCGCTTTCCGACTGTAGCGTATTTCGCACACGGGCCTGGCCAGACCATTTAGTGTATTCCGAAAAGGGTGAAAGTGGTGTGTGCAACCCAAGAGGGGGCTTTTAGGGGTTGCTTAATTATATTGAATTTTTGGAATTTTTAAATTTGGAATAAATGCCGAGGTGGGTGGGGGAGGGAACTAAGGGAGCCGGGTGAGGTGGGTGTATGTATGTTTATTGGATTTTGGATTGGTAGATTAATTAGTTTTTAGATGCGCTTAATTAGGTCTGTTTTGATTAGGAATACGCCTAGGGCCTTGAAGTTTTCTAGTTTATTTTGAGGGTTTAGTATTTCATCTAGAGTAGGAACCTTATTTAGATTGAGGGTGGTTTGTAGTGAGGTTCTGTGTGTTTTTAGTGGGTGCAGTGGATGAGTGCGTGTTCTGTGGTTGCCTCTTATGACAAGCATAGTCGACTTTTATGGCAAGCATGGGTTCCTGAGGACCTATTCTATCCCGGATCTTCACGGGTCACAAAGTTATGCAGTCGAATGGGTTGATGGTATTTATAACAGAATCGGGATAAAAATATTAGTCTCTATGATTAAAGGGGTCCGTTTATATAATAGTAAGGTTAGGACAATGTTCAACTGTTTCATTTATCCCAAAATACACTTTAGAAATTTTCATATGTCTTCTGTGTTTGTACGAACTATCTTTATCCAGACAGGCAACAACTTGACACCATCTGTAATTGTAAGTGTATTGTATACGTTGTCACTGGTTGTCAACCGTGAAGTTGAACCCTAGGTGTACGTTGTCAGTGGTTGTCAACCGTGAAGTTGAACCCTACGTGCACGTTGTCAGTGGTTGTCAAGCGTGAAGTTGAACCCTAGGTGTACGTTGTCAGTGGTTGTCAACCGTGAAGTTGAACCCTAGGTGTACGTTGTCAGTGGTTGTCAACCGTGAAGTTGAACCCTACGTGCACGTTGTCAGTGGTTGTCAACCGTGAAGTTGAACCCTAGGTGTACGTTGTCAGTGGTTGTCAACCGTGAAGTTGAACCCTAGGTGTACGTTGTCAGTGGTTGTCAACTGTGAAGTTGAACCCTAGGTGTACGTTGTCAGTGGTTGTCAACCGTGAAGTTGAACCCTACGTGCACGTTGTCAGTGGTTGTCAACCGTGAAGTTGAACCCTAGGTGTACGTTGTCAGTGGTTGTCAACCGTGAAGTTGAACCCTAGGTATACGTTGTCAGTGGTTGTCAACTGTGAAGTTGAACCCTAGGTGTACGTTGTCAGTGGCTGTCAACCGTGAAGTTGAACCCTAGGTGTACGTTGTCAGTGGTTGTCAACCGTGAAGTTGAACCCTAGGTGTACGTTGTCAGTGGTTGTCAACTGTGAAGTTGAACCCTAGGTGTACGTTGTCAGTGGTTGTCAACCGTGAAGTTGAAACCTAGGTGTACGTTGTCAGTGGTTGTCAACCGTGAAGTTGAACCCTAGGTATACGTTGTCAGTGGTTGTCGACCGTGAAGTTGAACCCTAGATATACGTTGTCAGTGGTTGGCAACCGTGAAGTAGACACACAACCCTTTGAGCGTTGTGGGTCTGTGGTACAGGATATAGACTTGCTACAGGCACACTATACGTTTATCCAACAGGGCTACGGTCTATACGTCCTCGAGGACTACCAGGTCAGCCCCGACGGGGTGCTGCTCACCCAGGGGCCCGGCACCTACAAGATACCTTCCATCGGTAACATACCCTCTCAGATGAACGTACACCTGCTCAGAAACAGCTACAATATATATGCTATATATGGCTCCAAGGTTAGTAGAAGAATGTTATTATCTTCCGAACTTATACGCGAGAAAAATAAATCTAACAATCGGCCAAATAATTTCTGTTGACTTTCTGTTATATATAACAATCTAAACAAGAATATGTGTCTGTCTTCACGTGTATGCTCTATATTCAATTGTATAGCTCAAATGAATAGAATTATCATAAAACCGCCTGCATGTTATCAGAAATGAGCTGGCCACTGTAACTTGATATTGCTTGACGGCGGGCCATTATCACGCCCGTTGTTAGGTGTCGTCATCTGGTTTGTTCTATGATGTTTCCATATTTGTAAAAGTGGATCAGTTGCTTTCGTTGTTTGTTGATTGCAGTAAATGTTTCAAAAGCGACACAGTTGTTTATTTTTATTCTATAACAAATTCCCTCGGTCAATTAATGGAAGACCTCGGGCTTCTGCTAATGATAAGGCCCTGAAAAATAACGTTACCCTTATAATAGTATCGAGATTGATGCCAGCTGCTATTTCGGAAAAAAAGAGAACTGGTGTCATGGAAGGGAACACGTTTAGGAATAATTGAATTAATAAATCAATTAATATTTTCCACAACCTTTCAAACGGTATGGGATGCAAAGATGAGGTGAAATGATCATGGATGTGCATACATCTGTGTCATCTCTTTGGTGTACTTGGTCCTAGGTTCGAACATCAGAATCGCGATGCGAACCAGCACCCTACCCGTGCTCATTTCACAGAACTGATAAACGTATGTGTCATATGACCCTGGCCCCTTACCGTCATATTCAAAGCGGCGTTAAACCCAGTTCATTCTCTTCTTGAATGACATCTGTGCCCCTTATGTGGACATTGGGGCTGTTTTCTGGTATATCTGTATCTGGTGCTTGTTGTATTACAGGGTGTTGGTGAGGCGTCATATGGCCTCGCTCTCTCCGTGTTCTTCGCCATTGCTGACGCCGTCAAATCATCCAGGGCAGATGCAGGCTGCACAGACCGGTTCCAACTGGACTGTCCCGCTACTCCAGAAACAGTCAGAATGGCTTGTCAGGACCAGTTTACCAAAAAGGTTGATTCCCTGTATTCCTTTTAAAAATACCTGCGGTATCACCATGATTCAACTTGTGTTCCGGCTTCATGATAAACGTAGAAATCCATTGTCATGATTTCATTCGTTCATGTTCGTCGTTTCATGACTTTACTCCAGTAACTGTAAGACTTTTTGGTATTTTTTTAACCTCAAAATATTTTAAAGCAACTTAAATGTTTTGTGACCGCATGGGTTTAAAGATTAACAGGTGTGTTTCCCCGCAGTTAACCGTATTCATAATGACCATGCTATTTCATATGCTATATGCTATATATGTTTTAGGTAAAACCCACACCAGAGGGAGACTTCAAGCCATGGACCGTACGATTGTCTTAGGCATCCTTGGGGTCCATCGTTTTCATGTTCAATTCATAAAAAGATTGCCTAAATGATGTTCTGTAACCAGGAAGTAGACACGTGACAGGCTTAATTTACGCTTATACTGGCACGAAAAGTAGAGCGGGATGTACAGCTCCTGAGAAGTGTCTTTTTGTTGCTTTGTTACCTGATATACCGCAATTGTTTTGGTTTTTACACAAGAGTTCTTACCAAATATATCATGGCTACAGAATCTTTCTCAATATGTTATGATTGATGTACATTGAGTTGAGGGTCAGTTAAGTCAAATCCTTTTTCCGTTATTACTTTTAACTGAGAATATCTAAATGTCAAACAGAGCTTCAAGATTGATCAAATTTCCCCCATAACACTGCGTTCGCGTTAATATATCGCAAATATATCATGCCTACAGAATCTTTCTCAATATGTTTTGATCCACGCGACTGGGATACGATTACACGCATCAACTAAGTCGGCGAGCCTGACCCAATCCCGTTAGTCGCCTCTTACGACAAGCATAGTCGCCTTTTACGGCAAGAATTGGTTGCTGAAGACCTATTCTACCCCGGGTCTTATATTTATGAATGTAGTTTAGACGTTGCACGGCATGTGTATGCACAGCTTCAATACGACAAGCATGGGTTGCTGAAGACGATTTTCAACCGGATCTTCAATCGTTTTAAAGGGGCGGTCGGGTAGCCTAGTGGTTAAAGCGATCGCTCGTCACGCCGAAGACCCGGGTTTGATTCCCGACATGGGTACAATGTCTGAAGCCCATTTCTGGTGTCCCCCGCCATGATATTGCTGGAATATTGCTAAAACGGCGTAAAACCATACTCATTCAATCAATCGTTTTGAACAAAAACTAGTGGATGACAACAATCTGTTGTGAACATCAATATTATAGATCAAAAAGTAAAATTATGATAAAAGTTTAATATTAATTTGACAAACGATTTAATTTCAAAGCATGTGTCATAGGTATTGCTTCACAGACCCTTTATATAGCATTATGTTTATGTACATAACCCTGGATATTTATACGGTTCAACGGCTCAAGCAGTAATTCTCCCGATTAAGAACATGTACGCGTCAAACAGGGATACAAACACCAGACTGGGTAGCCTAGTGGTTAAAGCGTTCGCTCGTCACGCCGAAGACCCGGGTTCGATTCCCGACATGGTTAAAATGTTTGAAGCCCATTTCTGGTGTCCCCCGCCGTGATATTGCTGGAATATTGCTAAAAGCGGCGTAAAACCATACTCACTCACTCACTCACTCACTCACTTATGCGGCAGAAGCACGGTCTTTGTGGTCATGAACATGTCCAGAGGGATTAACAAAGTGTTAAACCAACGTCTGTATCAGGAATATTACATGCATATTATTGGAAATATATCCATGTTGACAAATTACATATTTGCAGTTCTTTTATTGTATATGGGAACAGTGTGTTTTGTTTGTTTGTTGTTTAACGCCGCACACAACAATAGTCCAGCTATATGACGGCAATCGTGTCTGGACCAGACAATCCAGTGATTGACATCATGAGCATCGATCCACGCAGTTGGGAAGTGATGACATGCATCAACCAAGTCAGCGATCCAGTTTGTCGCTTCTTACGACAAGCATAGTCGCCTTTTACGGCAAGCATGGGTTCCTGAAGACCTATTCTACCCCGGATCTTCACAGGTCGTAGAAGTGGGTAAAATGTAATGTTCACTAAAGAATTAAAACACTATTTCATAACGTTCCCGACTTCCCGTAGTATGTCCTATGTCATGTAGACATCATGGTACCTTGTAAGTCAGCCAGTGAAGCTAAACACGAGTGTGTATGAAAACACGTTAACCTCAGCTTTCACCGCCAACAATCTATGAACAATTACAGTATCTGCCTCAAAGCAAAAATATAACAGGTCAGACGCCATGCCTAATATGTCTGAAACATGCCCGTGGAGGTGAGGGGAAATTGGGTTTAACGCCACGTTGAAGATTATTGCACTTATGTAGCGGCGTGTGTGTGCGTGCGTGTACAGGTCCGGACTACTCCCGAGTTTGTAATGCTCGCCCACTGTAATACCATGCCACATTTTAACATAACTGTTAACTGTTGGTCTATACCAGGCCGATCTTTCTTTGACGCTAATATAACGCAATGCAAATGACTGGCAGATCAGTGCTTCTGGAACCATTGGTCTATACCAGGCCGATCTTTCTTTGACGCTAATATAACGCAATACAAATGACTGGCAGATCAGTGGTTCCAGAACTGTTGATCTATACCAGGCTGTTCTTTCTTTGACAGTAGTATAACGCAATATAAGTGACTGGCAGATCAGTGTTTTGGTCTACCTCTTTTGTGGAGGTTTTGCAAGAAAAATATGGGCTGACTTTTTTCCACCAAGACAGGAGTTCATACCAACAGATCCCGAATGACATTAACAACCTGAGGTTGCTTGATACATGTGATCTTGATGACAGCGTCTGTAAATCATAACCTCCCTGCTAGAACTCGCTTCAGCATGGCAGTCTGTGTCATCAAACAAATAACAGGGAAGGTGCTTACGACTATTGCGATATCATAAGCATGTGTTTATGCGAATCACTATCAAATAGTGATGATACCAGATGTTCGAGAAAAGCTAAGCATATTCTGCACCCATAACAAACACATGCAAATGCAAGTCAACGATAAGAAATATTATATTTAGGCTTAGTTCCTGCAGCAGAATTTTGGTCATCTGGGACCTTGTTGGATCTGCCTTCTGGAACAGATGTGTCAATAAGGATTTAGCGCTTGGCCCGACTTCTCATGCAGATTCTTGTCATCAAGAATTGAGCTGGAATGCATTCCTGGAGCTGATTTGTGTCAATAAGGATTCAGCTTTGCCTAACTTCTCGTGTAGTTTTGTGTCATCAAGGATTCAGCTTTGCCTAACTTCTCGTGTAGTTTTGTGTCATCAAGGATTCAGCTTTGCCTAACTTCTCGTGTAGATTTGTGTCATCAAGGATTCACCTTTGCCTAACTTCTCGTGTAGATTTGCGTCAATAAAAATTCACCTTTGCCTAACTTCTCGTGTAGATTTGTGTCAATAAGGATTCAGCTGGATCTGACTTCTGATCAAGATCTGTGTCAACAAGGATTTAGCTTGGCCAGACTTATGATGTAGATTTGTCATCAAGGATTTAGCTTTGCCTAACTTCTGGTGTAGTTTTGTGTCAATAAGGATTCAGCTTTGCCTAACTTCTCGTGTAGATTTGTGTCATCAAGGATTCAGCTTTGCCTAACTTCTCGTGTAGATTTGTGTCAATAAGGATTCACCTTTGCCTAACTTCTCGTGTAGATTTGTGTCAATAAGAATTCAGCTTTGCCTAACTTCTCGTGTAGATTTGTGTCAATAAGAATTCAGCTTTGCCTAACTTCTCGTGTAGATTTGTGTCAATAAGGATTCAGCTGGATCTGACTTCTGATCAAGATCTGTGTCAACAAGGATTTAGCTTGGCCAGACTTATGATGTAGATTTGTCATCAAGGATTTAGCTGGATCCAACTTCTGATCAAGATCTGTCAACAAGGATTTAGCTTGGCCAGACTTATGATGTAGATTTGTCATCAAGGATTTAGCTGGATCCAACTTCTGATCAAGATCTGTGTCAACAAGGATTTAGCTTGGCCAGACTTATGATGTAGATTTGTCATCAAGGATTTAGCTGGATCCACTTCTGATCAAGATCTGTGTCAACAATGATTTAGCTTGGCCAGACTTATGATGTAGATTTGTCATCAAGGATTTAGCTGGATCCAACTTCTGATCAAGATCTGTGTCAACAAGGATTTAGCTTGGCCAGACTTAAGATGTAGATTTGTTATCAAGGATTTAGCTGGATCCACTTCTGATCAAGATCTGTGTCAACAATGATTTAGCTTGGCCAGACTTATGATGTAGATTTGTCATCAAGGATTTAGCTGGATCCAACTTCTGATCAAGATCTGTGTCAACAAGGATTTAGCTTGGCCAGACTTATGATGTAGATTTGTCATCAAGGATTTAGCTGGATCCACTTCTGATCAAGATCTGTGTCAACAATGATTTAGCTTGGCCAGACTTATGATGTAGATTTGTCATCAAGGATTTAGCTGGATCCAACTTCTGATCAAGATCTGTGTCAACAAGGATTTAGCTTGGCCAGACTTAAGATGTAGATTTGTTATCAAGGATTTAGCTGGATCCAACTTCTGATCAAGATCTGTGTCAACAAGGATTTAGCTTGGCCAGACTTATGATGTAGATTTGTCATCAAGGACTCTGCTTGGCCACTGATGGTCAGTGCTACTCATCAAAATTAGTAAGTCCAGCAGACTGTATGTCGTCACGCTATAGCTGGATCTGACTTCCGATGCACAATTTATGTCAACAAGTTTTGGTTTTGGTTGGTTGTTTTATGCTGCACACAGCAATATTCCAGCTATATGACAGCGGTCTGTAAATAATCGAGTCTGGACCAGACAATCCAGTGATTTACTTCATGAACATCGATCCACAAAATTGGAATGACATGCATCAACCAAGTCAGTGAGCCTGACCACCTGATCCTGTTAGTCATCTTTTAAGACAAGCATGGGTTGCTGAAGACCTATTCTACCCAATGTCAACAAGCAATGGGCCTGGTTCAAGCAGTATTGGAATATGTCATGACAAAACAAGTACACAAATGTTTTGAGAATGTTTTTAATGGATGTTGAGAATGTGAAAGTGGCACCCCTGATGCAGTGAATACTGACAAGATATTTACATCATGTGTCCCAACTTTGTGTGGTTAAACAGGAGATTCTTCAACCTCCTTCACAGAAATAAATAACTGTATAGTAAACACCAAGTGTAAATAGTCATTATGCAGTCAATACAATGCAATACTGTAGCTAAGTGTTAAGACGAGGACTCTGGTATATATGTCCTGCTTGGACAGCACTCCCTCATCCCAATTCATTCGGTGAGGCTGGTTATCATACATGGGTAGCATCAATATGTACCCCAGATACCTTTCTGGTATTGATATGTACTCTTACCCAAATTGGAATACATATATGTACCCTAGTTACGGAACTGGGTGGAGAACTGGTTCCAGTTTATGGAATGGACATGTCCACTTGTTCTAATCATATGAAGAACGTTACCTGAGGTACATATAAGAAGTGCCTTGTTCAACAACAAAAACTCTTCAGTATAAACCATTTGTCACCACTCGCCCCTTTCCGTAACCTGCAAGAAGACTCATCCCCCCTATCGATGAATGTTATGTGCTAAAATACAACAAACCAATCAGAATGTGCGTATGATTTCAAATTCTTCGTCAAAGAATCCCTCAGAAATAATTTCTGCTTTAACATATGTCTTGCATCTAAAAATATACCAAAGACAGTTAAATGTGTTCAATCATACTGTATAATTCCGCACATTCCGATGTGCTTTAAATTGCATCTTAAATATATATAATATATGGGGAAATGTGTGAACAATTACCTAACGAGTTGACAATTGTTTTAGGTATGCCCGTTTGCGCTAAGACAGAACCCGGTCGCAAAAATGGTCACGAGAGGGGCACGAGTCGCTATTCTGCTTGTCCCGGAATAACACGAGTTGGTCACGAATGAGCATAAACAAGGCCTGCAGCTCAGATGGAAGCAAACTCATACTCATGGAACATCCTTATCTCAGTAGCCAGCCTTTTTTTCAATAGACAGATACTTTTCACAACTCACAAAGTAGTTGAGTGGAGAGTTAAAGAAAAGACTTGAGTTATTTACAAACATGCCCTGTTTGAGAAGTGAATGACCTATGACATACATATTGAGAGGCTTGCATTCCAGTTACAGGAAGCAATAGCCAGTGGTGACATTAGATGTATCACACATATGGACATCATGGAGTGTGTTGTCATGCCCACTTAAATAAGGGATGCCCATGTGTTTCTTTCTTAAAATGGCTTGACTTAAGGCAGTTTGAATAGACACAGATGTAACAAAATGGTATGCTTCAGATGAGATTATGAATAAGATTTCTTTAGATGATAGAAGATAGAACGAAATAGTAACAAACCTCTTTCAATGGAACACTAAATTAGAACTACTTTTTTAATCGAATAATATTGCAAAAGTAGTTTGGTTTGAAAAACAATTCATATCAAAACATTTCATGACCAGATGATATCAGTCTAAAGCATAGAAATTCACTATGCAGAGTGATGCCCCTTTTCCATGCCTGGATCAACTGATCAAAGGTACAATTTTGAGATTTGAACAAAAGAGCAGCAAATCCTGGCATGACTGACGGACACAACCATAGTTTTCTTCTGACAACAGTGAGTGAGTGAGTGAGTTGGGTTTAACGCCGCTTTTAACAGTATTCCAGTTATATCGTGGCCTGTCAGCTTAATGTGGGAGGAAAGCCCGAAGTGATGCAGGTCTCAGAAGTTTACCACTTCGGTGAAACCCACGAGCACAGGTATGGTGCTGACAAACCTAGAAACATAATCTGGGCGAACCGGGATTCAAACCCACAATCATAGTTTCTGGCGTGCCCAAGGGACGCAACTCTGCACAGCGAATCGCGGCGCCTTAGACGACTGGGCCGCCCGTGCCCCCTCTTCTGACAATAACAATTCCTGTTATCTAATGAATACACTCTGGTGACGGTCACTCTAATCATTCTGGACTAAAACAGCTGGAATGGTTGTGAATAAGAACAGTTAAACATTCATTCAGTTGACTTCTCATTGTTAGAACAAACATACTCTACCATGCATATTACAATTCTAATGTCCTTGAGATCCTAACCAATGGCTAAGTACAAACACTAAACCTATATTGCTGCAATTTAATAGTACCATTCTGTCATAGTGGCAGTCCTACATACACATGCAATTTTCATATTGGTCAAATTCATATTCACAATATACAAACATGAAGTATTTCAAACCCACAATATATAAACACACCCAAAACAACTTAAAAAATATATACAAACTGAAATACCATCTTGCTCACACCAAGCATACAAGGCAACTATTGCCATGGTCACGTTAAGAAGAGCTGGTAAGTATAGCATTGAGTTGCCCTGATTTTAGGCTTAAAAAAATAAAAGAATTGGTTCTCAGGCAATGGCTTTTGAAAATGTAGTGCGGGAGGGTGATGTTTTGGGTTTTTGGGGGGTTGTTCAAACTAGTGTGTAACCAAATAAACAGTTGTGTACAATCAACCTGGGAAAGGGCCTCCCTACATAAATGTATTCCTTGAGTAAAATACTGGAATAGTTTTTGACTACCATTGGACTTGTAATATTTAAGGATTTTTTTTTTTAAATTTAAAAGGGAAATAAAAACAAAATGTGCGGCAAACTTTAGGATGATGCGGGCGGTGCCTGAGAACCAAGACTATTATTTTTTTAGCCTAACAGAAGAATAAGTACCTGTGGTAATAAACTCATCTGATAAAATAAATACTTAAGTGTCATCACCACGGTCATGGAGACAGGCTGCATGACTGGAAGACTGAAGCTGTTTCATGACAAGCAGGATATAGTGAGACACACTGATACAAGCACTCATAAAATCATTATCAAAGTGTCTTTTGTTTGTCGTTTAATCCAGTGATTGACATCATGAGCATTGATCCACGTAACTGGGATATGCCTATATGACTATAGTCAAATTAGAAATCATTTCACATAGAATATTAAGCAGAATTTTTTTAGAGTATGCAATATTATATAATGTTAAGATTTAACATCGCATCTGGCTTATTTCAGCCATATAGAGACAAGAATACCAATAGAAACTATTAATACCTTATGCGTATGATGACTCAGCGGCTACAAAACTTATCTGGGATTTGAGTGGATTATTCCAGCAATATCACGGCAGGAGACAGCAGAAATGGGCTTCACACATTGTACCCATGTCTTCGGCGTGACGCGCGACCGCTTTAACCACCAGGCTCCCCGACCGCCCATCTGGGATTTGAAGAAGAGTATGTTCCACAGTCTAGTGTCTACTTCCAGTCTAGGTCTAGGTGTTGTCGTGAAATCTGTGTATTTAGGGTAAACATGAGTGAGTGAATGAGTGAGTTGGGTTTAACGCCGCTTTTAACAGTATTCCAGTTATATCATGGCATGTCAGCTTAATGTGGGAGGAAAGACCGAAGTGATGCAGGTCTCAGACGTTTACCACTTCGGTGAAACCCACGAGCATGGGTATGGTGCTGACAAACCTAATCGGGGCGAACCGGGATTCAAACCCACAATCATAGGTTTCTGGCGTGCCCAAGGGACGCAACTCTGCACAGTGAATCGCAGCGCCTTTGACGACTAGCCACCCATGCCCCCAGGGTAAACATGAACTCCTGCACTTATATGCATCATAAAACTAGAGTCAGCAGACAAAGTCAGTTTGGACCTGAATCAACCTTGCTCGGACTGCCACTGGCTATAGCAATCACATAAAACATTCTCAAGGAACAAGGAGATAGATGGGTTTATTATGTTTTCTAATAGGTTCCCGATATACATATTTATAGAACAATACCTGTTCCACCCAAGTCAGTTATTTGGAGGTAGCAAATATGTGAAACAAGATTCAGAAAAGCTGCCAATTAAAGGCAGAACCAATGATAGAGGTCAGACTGGACACAAGATACCAATGTAAACAATCAAATTTCTAAAATAAATAATAATTCCATTGTTCACTATTTTCTAGAAGATTCAATCACAATCACTAGTTAATGAATTATTCTGATTGAACAATACTGTCCTAATGATCCAGGTATTAAAATTGCCATCTCAGTGATTTAGTACAAGGTGTGTACTACATAGCACACAATTTCGTAAATTTCTAGCTGATTTCTTAAAATTAAATCTAAACACTAAATATTTTTTTTAAAATTTCAATTAAAAGGGCAAAACAATTGGTAACAAACATGACGCCGAAAATAAATTACATTTAGGAAATATGGGTGTCATTTAAATCTATTAAAATAACAACCCTAATAGCAGCCACGGACACATTCAGCAAATCAAGGTGAGCTGACAATTCCCAACCCACCTTAGGCTAAAAAAATAATAGTCTTGGTTCTCAGGCACGTTTCATCATAAAGTCCGCCGCACGTAATTTTTTTCCATTTTCCCCAAAAATTTAAAAACCGTATAAAACAATGTCATCCAATGTAGCACATAGTTACTTCCCTTTACATGTGCACTACTTTATGGCGCATCTCATCTTATAGTCATGGCGGCTTGTTTTAATATATAGTGAGGCCCCTTCCAAAGGTTGATGGTACACAGCTGTATATTTGGTTACATACCAATTTTAACAAGCAAACAACAACAAAAAAACACTGCCTGTCTGCACTATATTTTGAAAAGTCATTGCCTGACAACCAATTCTTTTATTTTTTTTTAGCCTTAGAACAACATTCAACTCTATCAGAAACAAGACAATACGCCTGCACTAATTTTTAAAGAGTTATTAACCATGTTAGCCAAATGTTGTAGCAAAAATATTTACAGTCGTCAGTCACTATATTGGTACAATTGTAGTTGTGCCTGTCTCTAGGATCCATAAGACCTTACACAATGCTGCATACGAAGTGGCCTGAAACTCATATATCCAAGGCATAAATTGTGAATATTTAGATTGCAAAACTGTATCAAATTCCGTGCAAACCTGAATATGTTCCATTCGGAACCCTGGTGGACTCTACATATCCTACATCATCATACAGGAAAGTTTGGAAATGCAATTATGCTAAAAACACTCAGTCACACATGAAGTCCGACTACAGTTGTCGGCGACTTCACCTTGAAGGCATATCACACAGTGACACAACAGTTCGTATCAGATCTCTGTCTCCGTAGAATTGTGTCTGGGTCTACCACTACCATTACTACTCGTACTTCCTGTCCGATGCACCCTCATCGGCAAACTGTTCCGTTCAAGGTCACGTAGGCCCGTCGCCTGGACCTGTTTGTCAATCAACACAACGTCCCGTTTACACTTCAAACAGATGTAAGTCCTCTGAGGTTTCCGCCTGGGTTCGGGTTGGGTTAGCACTTTGGCTATGAGGGACATTGGCACTGCTTCTGTGGGGGACACGTTCCCCATGTTGGTGTCAGCATCGGTGTTGTTGACGGAGTAGACCATGGCACATGGTGGGAAAGTCTGCATCGGCACTCGGATCAACTTGGACTCCTTGACACTGTTCTCCATGTTGAGAATCTGTTCTCTGGTCATGTGTTTTTTCACCCTGTCTTGCAAGTCCATTGGAAGCTGCAGCAGAGTGTGGCAATTTGAATATTGAGATGGAGGAGGTCTAAACGTTTTACAAATGCTCACTAGATATGATGACTGACTTGATACTAATTCCGAAAACCTGCCAATCAAAGGCAGAACTTACAAATGCTCACTAGATAAGATGACTGACTTGATACTAATTCTGGTATGCAAGTTTACATCTTCCCGAGGCAAGAGTGTCCTAGCCTATTTATCAAAGTCTTGTTTCCACCCTTGCCACATCACGCCCACTTTCCTGTGCTAAATATGACTGGAGTATCGCACATATCAATAGTCCAATCGGAGAACGTTTCATAAAATCAACATCCACGACTGGTACACCTTCGTATGGAAGTGATTTACCGCTGCCTGTCATTGTTGACATGAATATGTTTTTTCATCTTTTAATCCCCCTTTTAAACGATTGCCTGTGTTTTTGAGTCAGGGATGAAATCGCAAATGTTTTTCGATTGACTAGGTCGTCGCCTATGGTAGTCGCCATCTTTGTGAAGCTACACGAGATAATTTAATTCTAAATACACACTAATAACAATCTTCACAACCCTTTTAATGAGTCAATGTAAACCTTAAAGCATAAGCCAGAGACTCTCCTTCTGAAGAGTAAACTTGGTAACAGTTTTTCTTGTTTCTCAGTAATGATTGTTGTTTGTTTGTTTGTTTGTTGGTTGGTTAATGCTGCACTCAGCAATATTCAAGCTATCTGATGGCAGTCCAGTAATTGACATCATTCGCATCGATCTACGTAATTGAGATACGATGACATGCATCAACCAAGTCAGCGAGCCTGCTCACCCGATCCCATTAGTCGCCTCTTACGACAAGCATAGTCGCCTTTTACAGCAAGCATAGTCGCCTTTTACAGCAAGCGTGGGTTGCTGAAGACCTATTTTACCCCTGATCTTCATGGGTCTTCACAGTAATGTGTGAGTGAGTTAAGGTTTACTGTCACACATTGCATGAGTGTTTGTTTGTTTGTTTGTTGTTTAACGCTGCACTCAGCAATGTCCCAGCTATATGATAGCGGTCTGTAAACAATCGAGTCTGGACCAGACAATCCAGTGATTGATCTAGGCAATTGGGATGACATGCATCATTGCATGATTGAGTTGGAATAAAGGCTGGATTGAGCATTGTTTCAATCACATGTCATGGCAACAAAATGCCATGTGGAGGGAAAGCCGAAACTGATGCAGGTCTTAAACGTTTATCAATTCGGTGAAACTCATCAGCATGGGTATGGTGCTGACAAACCAAGGATCATAATCAAGGATTCACACCCATAACTATACCAAGTGGATCCTGACAGAGATAAGGGAGCCCACTCTGCAGAGCAAATTGTGACCAATATATAGATCACAGGACCACTCTAAATAGTGCCTCTAAATGATAAAATATAACAAATATACAAAGAATTGGCTAAAGCTTACCGAATTAAGTTTATGTGACACAAAGTTGGATGGTCTACAGTGGAGTAGCTGCACTGCCAGATTACAGTCATTGCGGTACCGCTCCTGGGAGGGAAGCAAACATGAGTGAGTGAGTGAGTGAGTAAGTGAGCACATTGTACCCATGTCGGGATTCGAACCCGGGTCTTCGGCGTGACGAGCGAACGCTTTAACCACTAGGCAACCCGACCGCCCCGAAGTAAACATGAATAGTCCAGAAACAGTGTTGCAGTAGAAGAGGTGAGGTCCGGTGAAATGGGGTTTAACGTTGTGTCCAAGATTATTGTACTCATCTGCTTGTACTAGTCCAGAATGATGCTGATTTATAGTGCTAGCCCACTGAGATACCATGCCACAGTTTAACATGAACATCCTACTCAGACACAGTAAGTGACTCCGAACTGACCAGTCCTGGTTCTAGCCCCTTAATCCCTAGCGCCAGACAGGGTAACAACAAGTACCACCGTCTTTAGGTATGACGCGGCCGGGAATCAAACCCCACACCTTCCACTCTCCAGGCGGACGCTCTACCACTAGACCACAGAGGCGGTCCAGTAGGAGAGAAATATATCACCATCACTTAGATGTTGTCCACTTCAAAACTGCTTGTTATTTTATCAAATACTGAAAGTAATAGCAAAAAACTATGAAGTACTTCAACTAAAGATACTGTAAAACGTGAAATTAATGCGTCTCCAAAAGAATGCGACCGCTGGCCCCTAGCCAAAAATGCGACTCAATATGAATGCGACACCCCCTCCTCTCAAGCTTCAGTGGATTTATATCTAAACAAAATGTCCTCTGTCAGGTTTTCATGTGAATCCTCACCTTAATCCAACCTTACATTAATCCAATCACACACCAAATAGCACCACTTATTAGCGCTGAGTAGAGTTCTTCGCTAAAACAATACATGCATGCTGGCTCGTGTCGGCCTTATGTCGCAAAGAACAAAGACACTGTGTTGGGTGGGAGGCGTCTGTCTGGATTTGCAGGTGTGATCAGTGAAGACATAAGTGAGTAGAACTCTGACTTGTCTTGGCCCCAGCACTGACAATACACAAGATGTAATTAGTGTTTGAATGACATTGTTTATATACTTGTTACAAGTGCTGCTCAATAAACAGTGATGTGGAATACATAGTTGTTTGGTTTTAGTGTATGTCTAAGTTGGTATTTCTGCTAACCAAAGTGTCTTATTGTTGATATAAATGCGATGTTTATTAATGCGAGCAAAGACCACTCGCATTTTTCGCATTTAATTCACGCTCGCGTTAATTTCACGATTTACAGTATTCCATATTCCATCTCCTTTATGTAAAACGTTTAAAGAATCAAAATGAAATGCACATCTCAGCAACACAACTCTGAGAAATCATTGTATTTGGCCACAAGGCTCCTAATACTGAAATAAAGTTTTGCCATCTTTGGTTCGATTTCCATTTACTCTTTCAGCGATTGTCCTCGAGCTCTAAAACACTGGTATGGCTGTAACAAGAAGACAATGAACATCTGCATCAAGTTCTATACTTACATTTTCCTCTTCTAACTCACAGATAGTGACCTTGCCATCAACAAGTTTAGAGGTCAAGGCTGCTACCTCTCGCTGCAGGGACACCTTCTCTCCCTCAAATTTATTAACCTTGAACAAAAAATATAATATCATTATTTTGAACATTACATAGCTAACCCTGAAAACACATAGTTTCTAATGCAACAGAAAACATACATTTATAGGCCCTGTACATAATGTGACAATTAAGTTGAAGTTAAACCATGGTGGTCAATGCACATGACCCATGAATGCACACTATGAAAGACACACAAGTGTTAAACTTTTCTTCTGTGTGATGATAGTGGGACAGTTTTCCAGCTGTAGGATGAGTGAGTGAGTGAGTGAGTGAGTGGGTGGGTGGGTGGGTGGGTGCGTGCGTGCGTGCGTGCGTGCGTGCGTGAGTGAGTGAGTGAGTGAGTGAGTGAGTGAGTGAGTGAGTGAGTGAGTGAGTGAGTGAGTGAGTGTGAGTATGGTTTTACACCGCTTTTAGCAATATTCCAGCAATATCACGGCGGGGGACACCAGAAATGGGCTTCAGACATTGTACCCATGTCGGGAATCGAACCCGGGTCTTCGGAGTGACGAGCAAACGCTTTAACCACAAGGCTACCCGACCACCCAGCTGTAGGATGAAGGCAGCCCGTACTGACCACTTTAAGTAGCTTGTCCTCCAGGTCGTGGTTCACCTTCTGCATCCTCTTGTGGCTCTCCAGCAGCCTGCAAACAGCATGTGGCATCATTAAGGCACTGTGCATAAACTTTTAAGGATGTAATCATTATAGAACATCAGAACCTTGGATCATACAAGGCCACATAAAGGATCTAATCATTATTGTAGATGACAAGAGAGGACTGTATAATGCATAAAGGATCTATTCATTACTGTAGACAATAATAGAGGACTGTTCAAGGGATAAAGAACCTGTGCATTACTGAACACAATAGTAGAGGACTGTTCAAGGCATCAAAAAGGATCTATTCATAATGGTAGACAATAATAGAGGACTGTTCAAGGCATCACAAAGGATCTATTTATCACTGTTGACATTAATAGAGGATTAAGTCTGACAGAGGTCCACATAGCAACCCTCTGCCTATTTACAACACTGATCTCATTCACAAAAAGATATTATACATCTTAAAGAATAGTAAATCCTTTGGCTATTTATCATAGGCAAAAGTCACATATGATATACTCATAAATACTGTCATTTATTCTGTTTTTTAAGTTATTTACCTGTCGTATCTGTCCCTGAGTCGAGCAAACTCCTCCCGCAGTTTCAGCACTTCATATTCCGCGAGCTGCTTACTGTCTATTAGCTCATGCTCTATGAGAGAGATGTGTGAGTTGCTCCGGATCAGCTGACACTGCAGCTCCTCTATCTGTTGGTGGAGGTCCAGACTGAAACATATCATGAATATGAGGTGATATTGTACAGAGGAGGTATAGGGCTTTATTGTAGTGGATATGAGGTGATATTGTACAGAGGAGGTATAGGGCTTTATTGTAGTGGATATGAGGTGATATTGTACAGAGGAGGTGTAGGGCTGTATTGTAGTGGATATGAGGTGATATTGTACAGAGGAGGTGTAGGGCTGTACTGTAGTGGATATGAGGTGATATTGTACAGAGGAGGTGTAGGGCTGTATTGCAGTGGATATGAGGTGATATTGTACAGAGGAGGTGTAGGGCTGTACTGTAGTGGATATGAGGTGATATTGTACAGAGGAGGTATAGAGCTGTATTGTATTGGATATGAGGTGATATTGTACAGAGGAGGTGTAGGGCTGTACTGTAGTGGATATGAGGTGATATTGTACAGAGGAGGTGTAGGGCTGTATTGTAGTGGCTATGAGGTGATATTGTACAGAGGAGGTGTAGGGCTGTACTGTAGTGGATATGAGGTGATATTGTACAGGGGAAGTGTAGGGCTGTACTGTAGTAGACATGAGATCACATTGTACAATGGAGGTGTAGGGCTGTACTGTAGAGGGTATGAGATCACATTGTACAATGGAGGTGTAGGGCTGTACTGTAGTAGATATGACATCACATTGTACAATGGAGGTGTAGGGCTGTACTGTAGTAGACATGAGATCACATTGTACAATGGAGGTGTAGGGCTGTACTGTAGAGGGTGTGAGATCACATTGCACAGTGGAGGTATAATTGTGACATTAAGGAGTCAGCCCTCAGTAATGATTGTTTCAGAAAAAGAAATTGCAAGCAAGAACCTATGTGATAGGTAAGCATACGTCCACCCAAGTCAACAGTGTCACTGCCAAGATGGATTCAAGCGGGATTAGAGTCATCCATGACTGCAGTTAGCCTGTAGGTTCTTGCATCAACGAATACATTACTACAAATCATGTTAGTTATGACACAATACCAATGACAAGGCTATGTAGGGGCTATATGTCTAGATACTTTTAAAGAATGATGACACAGCTTTAGGCCTACATTTGAACCTTACTGTAGGAACTGCTATACCTTACGTGTTTCGGGCAGCTTTAACCATTTACTGCGGCATACCAGCCACCACCCTACACACACAACTTGCCTCCAGAAATCCACACAACACTCCAAGGACTGGTCAATATGTGCCACACATGCCAGTGTTGTTGTATTGAATCTAACCTGCAAGCATGGCAGGACCAATGCAACTTCATCAATTACCATAGTGCCTATTGATTTTTTTGTGCCTTGAAATACAGCAAAGCTTTCCCTTTAATTAGCTCCTCCTTATAAACAAGACACTGCGGGACATACAAATGACATATCTCCAACACAGTCCCATGGCGTCACTGTCGCTCACCTGCATATATAGTCAACAGTTTAAAGTGTCAATATCTTAGAAAACACAGACAGACTATGAATACTGTTGATATAAAAATGTCTTCTGCATAAATACTTTATAGTGAGGGAGTGAGTATGGTTTTATGTTGCTTTCGGCAATATCACGGCGGGGGACACCAGAAATGGGCTTCGAACCCAGGTCTTCGGCGTGTCGACCGAATGCTTTAACCATTAGGCTACCCGACTGCCCAAAATACCTTATAACATTGGTTGAAGTTCAAAGGTCAAATCGCAGTCAAAATATATAATATTGCAAGAGGGAACATATATGTTAAGCCCCGTGACTAACTACACACAGACCAAATTTCATCACAATTTGAACAAAAAGGGCAGAGTAATGGCCACTAAGAGGTTTAATATGCACTTTCTGCTGATTGTTTCAAGGAATACAAAGGTCGAGTTTGAAATGTTAGTGAACCGTAAGGTACTAGTGCTCAACTAGAGGATGATGTACAGCTGTCAATACACATCATTTTATATTAAAATATGGTTGCATAGAAACAAATGGGTTAAATGTTCTGCAGCTGTGAAAGACTGAACTGTCTACATTGGTTAAATGTTCTGCAGCAGTGAAAGACTGAACTGTCTACATGGGTTAAATGTTCTGCAGCTGTGAAAGACTGAACTGTCTACATTGGGTTAATCTTCTGCAGTGGTGAAAGGCTGAACTGTCTACATTGGTTAAATGTTCTGCAGCAGTGAAAGACTGAACTGTCTACATTGATTAAATGTTCTGCAGCAGTGAAAGACTGAACTGTCTACATTGGTTAAATGTTCTGCAGCAGTGAAAGACTGAACTGTCTACATAGGTTAAATGTTCTGCAGCAGTGAAAGACTGAACTGTCTACATTGATTAAATGTTCTGCAGCAGTGAAAGACTGAACTGTCTACATTGGTTTAATGTTCTGCAGCAGTGAAAGACTGAACTGTTTACATTGGTTAAATGTTCTGCAGCAGTGAAAGACTGAACTGTCTACATTGGTTAAATGTTCTGCAGCAGTGAAAGACTGAACTGTCTACATTGGTTAAATGTTCTGCAGCAGTGAAAGACTGAACTGTCTACATTGATTAAATGTTCTGCAGCTGTGAAAGACTGAACTGTCTACATTGGTTAAATGTTCTGCAGCAGTGAAAGACTGAACTGTCTACATAGGTTAAATGTTCTGCAGCAGTGAAAGACTGAACTGTCTACATTGATTAAATGTTCTGCAGCAGTGAAAGACTGAACTGTCTACATTGGTTAAATGTTCTGCAGCAGTGAAAGACTGAACTGTTTACATTGGTTAAATGTTCTGCAGCAGTGAAAGACTGAACTGTCTACATTGGTTAAATGTTCTGCAGCAGCAAAAGACTGAACTGTCAACATTGGTTAAATGTTCTGCAGCAGTGAAAGACTGAACTGTCTACATTGGTTAAATGTTATGCAGCTGTGAAAGACTGAACTGTCTACAAGGGTTAAATGTTCTGCAGCAGTAAAAGACTGAACTGTCTACATTGGTTAAATGTTCTGCAACAGTGAAAGACTGAACTGTCTACATTGGTTAAATGTTCTGCAGCAGCAAAAGACTGAACTGTCTACATTGGTTAAATGTTCTGCAACAGTCAAAGACTGAACTGTCTACATTGGTTAAATGTTCTGCAGCAGTCAAAGACTGAACTGTCTACATTGGTTAAATGTTCTGCAGCAGTGAAAGGCTGTACTGTCTACATTGATTAAATGTTCTGCAGCTGTGAAAGACTGAACTGTCTACATTGGTTAAATGTTCTGCAGCAGTGAAAGACTGAACTGTCTACAAGGGTTAAATGTTCTGCAGCAGTGAAAGACTGAACTGTCTACATTGGTTAAATGTTCTGCAGCAGTGAAAGACTGAACTGTCTACATTGGTTAAATGTTCTGCAGCAGCAAAAGACTGAACTGTCTACATTGGTTAAATGTTCTGCAGCGGTGAAAGGCTGAACTGTCTACATTGGTTAGATATCCTGCAGCGGTGAAAGACTGAACTGTCTACATTGGTTAAATGTTCTGCAGCAGTGAAAGACTGAACTGTCTACATTGGTTAAATGTTCTGCAGCTGTGAAAGGCTGTACTGTCTACAAGGGTTAAATGTTCTGCAGGAGCAAAAGACTGAACTGTCTACATTGGTTAAATGTTCTGCAGCAGTGAAAGACTGAACTGTCTACATTGGTTAAATGTTCTGCAGCAGCAAAAGACTGAACTGTCTACATTGGTTAAATGTTCTGCAGCGGTGAAAGGCTGTACTGTCTACATTGGTTAAATGTTCTGCAGCGGTGAAAGGCTGAACTGTCTACAAGGGTTAAATTTGCTGCAGCAGTGAAAAACTGAACAGTCTACATTGGTTAAATGTACTGTCTTAGTGAATAAGGCTGAATCTCTTACTGCAGTTGTTAGGTTAACATGGTTGTAATATCGATTAATTATTTGTAGGAAAGCTTAGACATTCAGAAACAACAGAAGTAAACGCTGTAATTGTGGAATTTTTAAACCATTAAGAAGTCCAAATTGCCAGATCAAAAGAGAGCCAGTTCCCATTGTGTGGAAAACTCAGGCAATCTCCCTTGGCTGACCTAATGAGTCTACCGACATGCCGAACATGTACGATGTCAATAATGTCTCATTCTGTCTAGCTGTGCCGTCATCATGCATGCAATGTGTCAGTTCTCACATTAACAGCACAAACTGGAGATTTACATTCCAGCAACGTATCCCATGTTGTGTCTGTAATGAACGTACCAGGGAGACATGCTGGGACCACTTAATCTTGGCCACTGTCTGAAAGTACATTATGTATAGGCAAAGGTCACTCTAGTTTTAAAGGATCGCCCACATTCTGGTACAATTACAACTTCACACAACTTGAAAAGATCAAAAGTCACATCTGAATCAATAAACTGGTCCCAACTTTCAATACGTTTCATTTCTAATGTAGTTACTGTATAACTGGTAGTGGCACTTTTAATCGTGTTCAGTTTTTACTTCACTCACTTTCAACTGAAGAAATCCAGAAACCACTTCAGAATCTTGCATGGTTAGATAAAGTCTATTCAGTTTTTCAAGTTTAGCTTTTAAAAGACATGTATTCCCATCTCCAAATTGATGAGAAATATTGGATTTCATATCACTGAAGCATGATAGGCACAGAATAATTCATAAAGAAAGACTGAGATTACTGTATAAGATAAGCAAGCATACAAATCAACAACCATCACAAATGTAATCACCAGAATTTACTTGCTTGTGAATAGCTTTCAATTACCATTCGCATCCCAACTCGTTATTAAATCGCTATACACATATCTAGCTGAAGGGTAAACTGGGGCCTCCACAATGGGTGACAGACATATTCCTTCACAGCATTCATCACATGGTGATGTTTAGACTGAAACAGGTTAAATGTCCCTCAGTGTGTATCGTGTTTGACATTCTCACCATATTGGGCTGATCGTCTGACATTCAGCGGACCGACAGTTACAGACCCAAGCCGGGAGGACACAGAGACGTGCAGCAGCCAATGCGGATCTGACAC